ATACCAACACCACCAACACTACCATCACATCAACACAACCAATACACCCACCACCACCAACACACCCAGCACCACCAACACACCCAGCACCACCAACACACCCAGCACCACCAACACACCCAGTACCACCAACACACCCAACACCACCAACACACCCAGCACCACCAACACACCCAGCACCACCAACACACCCAGCACCACCAACACACCCAGTACCACCAACACACCCAGTACCACCAACACACCACCAACACACCCAGCACCACCAACACACCCAGTACCACCAACACACCACCAACACACCCAGTACCACCAACATAACCAACACCACCATAACACCAACACCACCAACACAACCAACGAAACCAGCACACCAGCACAACCAACGCACCAACACCACTAACATGCCAACACAACCAGCCCACCAACACACTGACTCACCAACTAATCCTGGTGCTGGAGCTGGGAATTGCACAATGTTGGTATTCCATTACAAAAAATGGGAATGGGAAAACCGAGGATGTGACTATAATCTGTAATTCACAGGAAATAATCTACAGTGTGTGTGTGTGTGTTTGTCTATCTGTGTGCGTGTTGTGTATCTGTCTGTGTGAACGTGTGTGTGTGTGGGCATGTCAGTCTGTGTGTGTATCCGGGTGTCGGTGTGTATGTGCGCGTCTGTGTGTGTGTGTGTGTGTGTGTCTGTGTGAAATCCTTTTATAACTTTAAATAATAATCCTCTCATTTGCTTATAAAGTCAAAAACATTATAACGAGGATAACCATCACAGGAACAGGAGGAGACCATTCAGCCCATTGAGCCTGTTCCACCAGTTGATTCCATCACGGTAGATTTATAATCCAAATGTCTGTCTCTGTCTGTCTGTCTGTCTCTGTCTGTCTGTCTGTCTGCTGGCTCTGTGCTGAAATGTTTAGTGACACACGGTGTGTTTAACCGATGCTCATTAGCTGAGAGGGTCAGGAGTGCTACAGCAGCTGATCTCCGACACTGAGTCTTGTCTCTCGGGGACATCAGGCACCTTGTGAGGACAAGTAGAATAATTAAAGAGGAGAGCGAGGTGAGGAAGGGGGAGAGTGAGGAGAGATAGAGAGTCAGGAGGAGAGAGAGGAAGAGTGAGTGAGGAGGACGGAGAGTGAGTCAGGAGGGGAGGGAGAGAGTGAGGAGAGAGACAGCGAGGAGAGAGACAGAGTGAGGAGAGAAAGAGTGTGGGGAGAGAGAGAGACAGAGAGGAGAGAGTGAGGAGGGAAGAGTGAGTGAGTGAGTAGGAGAGAGAGTGAGAGTGAGTCAGGAGGGGAGAGAGAGAGTGAGGAATAGATAGAGAGTGTGAGGGGAGAGAGAGAGAGAGAGTGACCGGAGAGAGAGAAAGAGTGAGGGGAGAGAGAGTGAGGAGGGGAGAGAGCGAGTGAGGAGGGGGGAGAGAGGAGGTGGGAGAGAGTGAGAGAGAGAGAGAGAGTGAGTGAGTGAGTGAGGGAAGAGACTCTGTCTCTGTCAGTGTTTCTCTCAGTGTCTCTGTCTCTCTTTGTGTCTATGTCTTTCATTCACTGTTCCTGGCTCTCTGTCTGTCTGTCTGTCTGTCTGTCTGTCTGTCTGTCTCTCTTTCTCTCTTTCTGTCTCTGACTCTCTGTCTGTCTCTGACTCTCTGTCTGTCTCTGACTCTCTGTCTGCCTCTCTGTCTCTCTTTCAGTCTCTCTGTCTGTCTCTGTCTGTCTGTCTCTGTCTCTCTGTCTCCGGGACTGTTTACAGTGGAGTTGAAGCTGCATTAACCCGTTGGCTTTTATCTAATTGATTATTTCCCTCGAGAGGCGCAGTCACTGTGTTCACTTGTGTCTGTCGGGTGTATTTGCTTCCGCTCCAGCTTTAAACTCACTTCATTCCCTGCTGCTCCCGGTGCTGTTCCCGACTGCTGCTCGCTCCTCCTTTTGTTAATTGTAAATTGACTTTAATTTAATTTGCTTGTGTGTTATTTTAGAATTAAATAAAAGCCGCCACGGATTTTCCCTCTTTCCCCTGAAACCTCATCACTCGAGGCGTAAACAGTGGATCGCAGCTGCTCAGCCCGGCTGACAGGTAATAAACAGGGAAAGTCCTTGTGTGTGTGGTTGGCGACAGTCTGACAGACAGGCACTGACAGTGACAGACAGACCAACAGACAGGGACAGACTGACAGTGCCAGACAGAGAGACTGACAGACAGGGAAAGACTGACAGTGCCAGACAGAGAGAATGACAGACAGGGATAGACTGACAGTGCCAGACAGAGAGACTGACAGACAGGGATAGACTCACAGTGCCAGACAGAGAGACTGACAGACAGGGATAGACTGACAGTGCCAGACAGAGAGACTGACAACAAGGACAGACTCACAGTGACAGACTGACAGACAGGGATAGACTCACAGTGCCAGACAGAGAGGCTGACAACAGGGACAGACTCACAGTGACAGACTGACAGACAGGGATAGACTCACAGTGCCAGACAGAGAGGCTGACAACAGGGATAGACTCACAGTGCCAGACAGACTGACAGACAGGGATAGACTCACAGTGCCAGACAGAGAGGCTGACAACAGGGATAGACTCACAGTGCCAGACAGAGAGACTGACAGACAGGGATAGACTCACAGTGCCAGACAGAGAGACTGACAGACAGGGATAGACTCACAGTGCCAGACAGAGAGACTGACAGACAGGGATAGACTCACAGTGCCAGACAGAGAGACTGACAGACAGGGATAGACTCACAGTGCCAGACAGAGAGACTGACAGACAGGGATAGACTCACAGTGCCAGACAGAGAAACTGACAGACAGGGATAGACTCACAGTGACAGACAGAGAGACTGACAACAGGGACAGACTCACAGTGACAGACTGACAGACAGGGATAGACTCAAAGTGCCAGACAGAGAGACTGACAACAGGGACAGACTCACAGTGCCAGACAGAGAAAGACACTGACAGTGACACATAGACAGAGAGACTGACAGACAGTGATTGAGTGACAGTCAGAGAGGCAGACAGACTGACTGACTGACGGATAGACGGACTGACTCTGATCAGTCTCTGAATTGGGCAGGTAAGCATTGGTGATGTGTTGGTGGGGGCTGCCTGTGTTAATGTGCTTTTAATTGGGGGGGCAGTGGGGATGGGATGGTGGGGATGGGATGGGGGGGAGGGATGGGGGGGATGGGATGGGGGGGACGGGATGGTGGGGATGGGATGGGGGGGATGGGATGGGGGGACGGGATGGTGGGGATGGGATGGGGGGATGGGATGGGGGGACGGGATGGGGGGATGGGATGGGGGGGATGGGATGGGGGGGACGGGATGGGGGGGTGGTGGGGGTCAGTGTGTCTGCGTAAACACCAGAGCTGTGACTGTGATGTTGGGATCATTTCTGTCATTGTATTAACATGAAGATGAGGGTGTGTCTCAGCACCTCTCGCGCTTTCGCTCTCTCTGAGCCCTTTAATTCCGCCTTTAATCTGAGAGTCTGCCCTTGTCTCCAACCCCAATGTTCACGGGGGTGGGGGGGGTGGGGGGTGAGCAGACCCCAGGGAGCGAGTCCGGCTGACCTCCCTGTGTGGTGCTGGGGGTCCGTAAACCAAGCGCCCGTCTGTGCCCTGTTTGGGGCGGACGTTAAAGCTGAGAGAAGGAAGTTTTCCTGGTCAACAACCCTTCGTCCACCAGCGCCTTCTCCTCCTCACCCACAGATAAAACCACTCGTTCACCCTGTGTCGGTTTGCTGCGTTTACGTCCAGAAAAACAGTCACTACACTGGACTGTACTGGATGTTTTTGACATCAGGAACTATAAAGCGTGATTTCCGCTGCCTGGTTTGGGGGGTGAGAGGGGGTGTGAAGGGGGGGGGGGGGGGGGTGGGCGTGTGTGTGTGAGGAGGGGGGGTTGGACCCCCCCCACCCCCCACCCCAGCCCCAATGGAGGCAGGAATGTTTACCCAGCTGTTGCCGTGGTGACGAGCCAGACCACAGTCCGATGTTTGATGCAGTGCAGGTTTAACCCCTCGCTCCCCACAGCACTGACACTGTCCGGCACCTCCGCCCTCCGGAAGCAGTGAGAGCAGCTCAGCACCTACACAAATAGGCTGGAGAGGTGGGGGTGGGGGGGGGGGGGGTGGGAAGGGGTGGCAGGCAGTTGTGGAGCAGATGCTCTAGCCGGGAGGGGTGGGGGGGTGACACTGTGCTCAGTGTTGTGGGGGGGGGGTGGGGGGCAGCATGTGTTATTGGGGAACGGGGACTCGGACGGTGCCAGTGCTGCCGAGCTGTGGGGTGTGGGTTTTGGGGGTTGGGGGGGGGGGGCACGAGCACAGAGAGGGCGCGAGGGCAGGTTACAGTCAGGAAGCCATCATGTCTGGCTGCACAGATGTCCTGTCACTGACGTTGACATCTTCAAAGATAACCATAGCAACAAACCCCCTCGTTCCATTTTTATTCACTCTCAAAATATCGGGTTTATTTTAAATGAAGCATCATCTTTATGCTGATTCTGTGTCCACATTGATTCCACCTGGAGCTCTCTACTCTAACCCCATTCCCTGCTCTCCCCCCACGAGCCCCCACTCCTCTCTTCTGTATCCCCTTGTCCTCTGTTATATCTTTGTAAATCATCATTGGTGTTTCCTCTCTGAGCCCACAATGTTCTTACTGTAATGTAACCCAACCTGAACTCGGTACGTTAAATGTTGTCTAACCCAGGTTATAAATAGAACATCACTTCCCTATTTTACATTAACCTGGACTTGATTTACACTCTCTCTGGCTACTTCCAGAGTATGTGAAGCTGAATCCAGGACACCTGTGCCCCTCTCCCCCCTCGGGTTGCTGGGGTACAAGGAAAGACTTGAGACTGGCGAGTGGTGTCTGTGTAATAATGGCTGTTGCCCTGAGACCCGCTGTGTGAGTGACTATCTGGTTTCCTGTATTTTGTAATCCTCAGCAGATTGCCCCACGCCCTTCCCGCCATGTCCACACTCATGGAGTTTAAGAGTTCCGTCCTGCGTCAGGTCCAGAACCGGCCGTCGCTGCGCAGGAAGCCAGAGGGTCCGTCCATCTCCCAGGAGGAACCACCTCAGCCCCTTGGTGTTCCCAGATCCCCTCAACCTGCCGGCGTTCCCAGGTAAGTCTGACCTCACCATCACTCAGCAAGTCATCAGCAATGTCTCATTGGTACATTCAGCATCTTCAAAGTCTCACGCTGTATGTGTGTGTGTGTCTTACTATGTGTGTGTGCGTCTCACTGTGTGTCTCACTGTGTGTGTGCGTCTCACTGTGTGTCTCACTGTGCGTGTGTGTGTGTAACTGTGTGCATTTCACTGTGATGTATCGCTGTATGTGTGTGGGGGGGTGGTTAGGGGTGCGGTGGTTCTGGAGGGTTGGGGCAGGGGGGGGATTGGATTGGATTGGAGCTGAATCATCACCGCTCGGTGGTTTCTCAATCTGTTACCAGCCCAGTTCTGAGCTCAGAACTGCACCCGCTTCCTCTCCTGTTTCTCACCTATTCTTATTCTTCTCCATTCTCCCTCCAATCTCCTCCCCTTCTCTCAGCCCTACCTTCATGGTTCTGTTTTACTCTTACGCTTACTATTGTTTGCACTTTGTATCCGCTAACGGCTTATCCTCGTGCTCTCAAACCGTTCCTCAGGGCTCTGTCCTCAGTCCTCTCCTTTTTAATAATAATATATCCATAATCCTTGCATTTGATATAGCATCTTCGGGATGTCTCAAAGCGCTTCACAGAATATACTGTAAAGTGAATTGACTGTATTTTGTGGGCGAAACACGGCAGCCAATTGCGCCCAGCCGTGTCCCATAAACAGTCGTGGATTGAGTGACCAAATTACTATTATTACTTTTTTTTTAGGTAAACAGAAGCATGTAGTGTAAGGAAACTTGCCTAAGGTTTCGCCCTGCCCGCGAATCAAATCCAGGTCCTCTCGCTTTCAAGGAGGGTGCTCTAACCACTGAGCTACAGGACTCCACACTATTAATATCTATATGCTCCCGCTCAGTGATATCATCCGTAGACATGGGGTTAACTTCCACATGTTTGCAAATGAACCCAACTCTTATCTCTCTACCTCTGACCTCGACTCCAGGACCACTGCTGTCCGCACGGAATGTCTTTCAGATAATAAGTCCCGGCCGGCCTGTGATATTTCTCCTCTTCCCATGTTTGTCTCTTAAACCTGGTTCCTCTTTGACCTCGTCTCTCACCAGGTCAGGGGCTATGTTCAAACAGGGCGAAATTTACCAGTCAAATGCTGAGGAGAATGTAACAGTGTGAGAGAGAGAGAGAGAGAGAGCATTGTGAACACCCGTGATTCCCCTCGACTATCCTCAGGGTGGGTGGAAGGGGTGGGAAGAGGTGTTTTCCTTGGAGTTGGACTGGCTCCAAGGTGACATGTTTGACAATAGAATGTCAGTCGAATCGAGCCCTCCTCTGTGACGGTCTCTAGTCCGGTTTCTGAGCCAGGAGGGTCCGCAGTATTCCAGGGCACTCGCTGTTGATGACAGCCCAGCCCGGCTCATTGACAGGACCTGGAAGGGCCGACCAGTCACTGGGGGCAGGGAATCCTCCCTCTCAGCTCCTGTTAACCCTTCCGCCAAAGCCCTAACTAACGGGGAGGGTGGTCCTAACTGGACAAGCAGTGGGAAAGCTGGCCAGACAACGACATCAATGGCAAGCTGTGGGGAAGGGGGGAGTTCTGTGCGGTGTGAGGTCAGGCCCGGGTGGATCCTCTCACGAGTTTGTGAGGTCACAGAGCCCTGGAGTCCCCCCCCCCCCCCCCACACACACACACACACACAGACTCCCCCTACCCTACAGCCAAGGTTTGTCTTTCAAAAGGGTTTGAGTTTGGCCGCAGTGTGGGCTGGGGTGTAGGGGTGGGGGGGGTTGGGGTCCTCACCCCCACACTGGGCTTTGGTGTAACAGCCGAGCGGGAGTCACATTGAACGTACATGATGGGGCAGGGGTGGGGGGGGTTCAATCTGACACATGCATAAACCCATAACCGTGTCTGGAATGGAATGCAAACTCTCTCCCTGGAGAGACTCTTGCTGTTTACCTAATTCCGTAGAGTATTGGGCATAAGTTAACAAGAGCCAAGGTTTGGGGACCCCAGAGTGTGCGTTGTTGTGGTGGGGGGTAACCGTTGGAGTCTAACCAGCTGTGATTGCCATTGAGAGCGCTGTCTGGTACATTTTCCCCGCTGCTTGTCCAGCTAGGACCACGCTATCCCATCAGTGCTTTGTCAGGGGGTAGAGGAGGGAGGGCTGGTGTGATGTTCTGGCTCTGTCTTATCTGTGGTGAGGTGACCGTGGCCATCCCTGCAGCATCCCACTGCACGTGTAGGACAGCGGCATCAGAATCCTGCTGCAGCTGCAGTTGGCGACAGCGACGCAGCCCGTTGAAATAGAATTGCAGAGAGATGCAGGAAATGCTTCACTGCTTTCCCTTCTCCCCAGCATCGAGGAGGAGGAGGGAGACGGCGACATCTTCGAAGCACTGTCTGCGCTGCAGCGGAAGCGGGAAATCATGCATCGGGAGTACGCCGAGGTACACACCGCACTGCACTGCTGCTCCTCGTACCGTGACTGCGATGCACAGGACAGTCTTAACATTACATTACGTCCAGTGCCTTTCACACCACGAGGATGTCTCCATGCGCTTGGCAGGATTGTACTGTAAAGTGTAGTGATTGTGTGTTTTACGGGTGAATCTGACGGCTAATTTGCGCACAACGACGTCCCACAAGCAGCCATGCAGTTGAATGAATGATTTTATCTGCAGGATTGTTGGCCAGGATACCCTACCCTACGTGAAGGGCACTATATAAACGCAAGTTGTTGAGTCAGATGTTTGCGGGTTCAGACTCCCACGGCTGGGATGTGGAGTGCATGTAGTCTAGGCGGACGCTCCAGTGCAGTTCTGGGGGATTTTCTGCATTGTTGGAGGTACCGTGTTTTGGATGAGACAGTAAACTGAGGAGCCATCAAATCCTGTGGCACTGTTCAAAAGGAGAAGGAAGTTTCTCTCTCTCTCTCCCAGTGTCCTGGCCAACTTTACAGTGAATGAGACTCGCTGTATCCAATATTATGTATTATTATTTGAAAAACCTCCACCAGGTGGGTATCTGATGGAGCTCTGTCTCTCCTCCCCCACCTCCCTCTCTCCCCCACTCTCTCTCTCTCCTCCTCCCTCTCTCTCCCCTGGCTGTGCTGTGTTCCAGCTCCTGGATGTCCCGGTGTCGCCGCCGCTGCTGGGATCTCTGGGAAACCAGACACCGTCCGAGAGCCCGAGGGCAACGAGAAAGGAGGTAGGGGCGGGGCACGGGGGCACATGTGTCTGTGTGTGTCTGGTTGTTCTGTGACTGACATGCGTGTGTGTGTCTCTCTCTGATTCTGTGACTGACACGCGTGCGGTTGTGTGTGTGCGTAGCTGCGGTTGCTGTACGAGGAGGTGCTGTACACGGTGCTGCATCGCGCTGGAGTTCCTGAGATTGGACACATCACAGATGAGACTGGACTCTTCCACTACCTGCAGAAGGTAAGTCCAGGTACTCTGACAACAACTTGCACTTACGCAGAGCCCCTCACGTCGGGCAGCGTCCCAGGGCGCTTGACAGTGGTGGAGCACGACACCGAGCCAGCGGGAGGGGGAGGTGAGCGTAAGCACAGTCGAAAAGGAAGGTCTTCAGGCGTGATCTGAAGATGGGGAAGGAAGGAGCAAGGCAGAGGGAGGGATAGAGGAAGAGAGTCCCAGCGTTTTGGGATGTAGTGGCTGAAAGCGCGGCCACCGATGGTGGAACGGGGGGCACGAGGGACATGCAGGAGGCCAGCGCCAATCGGATGGAGACAGCGGGTAGTGGGTTGGGGAGTAAGAAGGTCAGAGAGGTAGGGAGGTGCCAGGGCGTGTAAGGTTGGGAGTTGCGCAGAGTCTGTCATTCTGTGATAACTAATTCTGACTCTAACCCAGGCGTTCACCGTTGATCTGAGTGACCACGAGTCAATGCTGCAGAGAGCAAAGGCAGCCAAGGTACGTATAGCGTCACTGTGTCTCTAACCCTGACCTGGGAGTGTGGACGCAGAGTGTATCTAACGGAGGCTTGTTGCCCAAGCCTCTACCTAACCTGTTACCCTCTTTCACTCCCTTTCTCCCCGCAGCCCCCATCGTTCGGCATGAGAGTGACGGTGGTGGAGGCCAGGAACCTGATGGCAAAGGACGCCAACGGTGGGTGACCTGATGCTGTGCCGCCCCCTGGTGGCCACTCTTTGTGCTAGAGCAGCAGTCTCTCTATCACTATCTTTCTCTCTATCTCCCTTTTCTTTATGTCTCTCTCTCTCTCTATCTTTGCACTTCCAACTGGTGGAACTATCGCACAATGCGAAGTGCCGTGTGCCCAAGTCGTGGACAGGAAGATGGTGGCAATGCTCTCACGTATTTCATGGTGAGATGTGTTGCCCACCAGGAAGCTGGCAGGGAGTTCCTGCCACCCACCTAGTGAGGCTCAAACCTGCGCTCTCTCTCTCTCAATGGCCAAGCTGTGTGTGTGGGTTTAGTTGGTTAGACTCCAGCAATTACCCCAATGGACACTGTGAGTTTATGTGCGTTGATGATGGGAGCCTGATAAACCCAACTAAACCTTCCCTCTCTTTCCCCCACACCCCCCCCCCCCACCCACCCACCCACCCTGGCCACCCCGCTCAGGCTTCAGCGACCCCTACTGCATGTTGGGGATCATGGTGGGCCCTGCCACCCGGGAGCACGAGGAGAGGAAGGAGCGAAGGTTCAGCTTCAGGAGGAAGAAGGAGAAGATGGAGAAGAGGGCGAGCGTGAGGGAGGGGCTTCCCGCCAAGTACATCCAAGTCACCGAGGTCAAACCCAGCACCCTGAACCCCGTGTGGAACCACAGCTACGTCTTGTGAGTGCGGCCCCCGGGGAGGGGGCTGTGGGCTGGGAGAGGAGCTGTGGGGGGGGGGAGAGGGGACGGGCTCTGGGGTTGGGAGGGGGCTGTGGGGGTGGGAGGGGAAACTCTAGGGGTGAAGCTCAATCCCCTCATTGTCCCTCCGACGCCCCACGGTAGCCAAGCCAGCGACTCGCTCTGTCACTGACCCTCGTTCCCTGTTTATTTATTCCCTGTGTTTCTCCCTCTTTCCCAGTGAACTAGACGACATTCAGAGTGACCAGCTTCACTTGGACATCTGGTACGTGCAGAGTGATGGCTGCTCCCTCCCTCACACTCTACCTTTCCTCTCACCGTCTCCTTCCTCACTGCTCCTGTTCCATGCTTTCTCTCACCTCAATCTCTCTCACACAACTCTCTCACTCTCTCTTACACCCTCTCCCTCTCTTACACCCTCTCCCTCTCTCCTTCACTCCTTCAATCTCTCACAGCCTCTCTACGTCCCCCACCCCTTATATTTCAATTGACACCCAACAAACACACACGTTCAGTGAGATGATAAACGTGAGATGTCTGCGCCTGCCCGGGCGATGGATGTTAAAGTTCCCGTGGCGTTGTTGAAAGAGAAAAAGGAGTTTCTCTCTCTCTCTCCTCTCTCTCTCTTGGCCGACAATCCCACAGATAAAATCTCGCACTCACTTCACTATCTGTGGGGATGCCGCTGTGGGTAAATTGGCTGCACAGTCACTAGACTTTACAGTAAAACCCTATGAGACTTTGACACGTCCTCCCGGCATGAAAGTCGATGTGTCCAATTCTCGCAAATTATTATTAAGCTATTGTGCAGCTTTGCGTGTTGTGGAGCTGCTGAGGGTGTGAGGGGGTGAGCGTGTGAGGGGGTGAGCGTGTGAGGGGGTGAGCGTGTGAGGGGGTGAGGGGGTGAGCGTGTGAGGGGGTGAGTGTGTGAGTGTGTGAGGGTGAGTGTTTGACTGTGTCACCCACAGGGATCACGATGATGAGGTGTCTGTGGCCGAGGCCTGTAAGAAGCTGAACGAGGTCAGCAGCTTCAAAGGAATGGGCAGGTAGGACCCCCTCCCTCTCCTGCTCCCTCCCGCATCCCTCCCCTGCTCCCTCTGCCCCCTCCCTCCCCATCCCCAGGCCCCTCCCCTCGCCCTCCTCTCCTCCATCCTCCCTCTCCTCATCCCACCTCCTTCCCCCCACACCCCTCCTTCCCCCCCCCTCCCCACTCCTTTCCCCCACCCTCCTCCTTCCCCGACACGGGAATGAACGCTGACGCTACCTTTTCCCTGCAGATATTTCAAGCAAATCGTCAAATCAGCACGAACTAACCGAGAGGCGACCTCAGCAGAGGACAATGCAGACGACTTCCTCGGCTGCCTCAACATCCCCATCAACGTAGGGAGAGGGCGAGACCCCCAGACACTGGCTGCCCCTCACCCACTGCCCCCCACCCCCCCACCCACTGCCCCCCTCCCAAGCCCACCCTCGCGCCACGGACTGCCAGCCCACCTGACCCTCACACCCCAGAGCGCCAGCCCACCCGACCACTCCCCCTCCACCCAATCCCCCCCCACCCACTGCCCCCCACTTGGACCACCTGACCCCCAACTCCCACCCATCCTGCGTGACCCCCACCCAAATCCCCCCGCCCACCAGCCACCCCCCCCCACCCAGTCCAGGTTGTCGCTAGCCCCCAGTGGGTTTGGAGCTGTACTGGTTTGAGCGCTCCTGTGTGCGCGTGTGTGTGTGGTGGGGGTGGGGCTGGGGGAGGGGGCCTCCTCTCTGACGCCTGATTTTGTCCCTCAGGAGATCACCGTTGACGGGATTGACAAATGGTTCAGACTCGAACCGCGATCCAGCTCCTCCAGCGTCCAGGGGGAGTGTCACCTTGTCATGAAGCTGATCGTTACTCAGGTTGGGAGAGGGGGTGGGGGGAAGGGGGAGGGGTAGTGGGGTGAGGGGAATGCAGAGAGGGGGGCGTAGCGAGGACGGTAGCCCAGCTCAGAGACCCCGGTTGCCAGCTCAGCGACCCCGGTTGCCAGCTGAGCGACCCCGGTTACCAGCTCAGCGACCCCGGTTGCCAGCTCAGCGACCCCGGTTGCCAGCTGAGCGACCCCGGTTGCCAGCTGAGCGACCCCGGTTGCCAGCTGAGCGACCCCGGTTGCCAGCTGAGCGACCCCGGTTGCCAGCTCAGCGACCCCGGTTGCCAGCTCAGCGACCCCGGTTGCCAGCTCAGCGACCCCGGTTGCCAGCTCAGCGACCCCGGTTGCCAGCTCAGCGACCCCGGTTGCCAGCTCAGCGACCCCGGTTGCCAGCTCAGCGACCCCGGTTGCCAGCTCAGCGACCCCGGTTGCCAGCTCTTGCCCTGTTTCTCTGCAGAAAGATGCCGCGCTGTTCAAGAAAGTCACAAACACCAGCGTCTACGAGCTGCTCCTCACCCGCCTGCTCCAGTACGAGCATGTCAACTTCGAGGTGTGTGTGTGTGTGTGTGTGTGCGTGTGTGAGAGAGAGAGAGACAAATAGTGAGGGAGAGTAGGGGTGAGGGGGCGAGGGAGGGGGAAAGGAGGGTTTGGGGGAGGGGGAGGAGCAGGGTGCGTGAAAGAGAGAGAGTGCGAGAGAGAGAGTGTGCGAGAGGGAGTTGGGGGGGTTGGGGGGAGACCACCACATATGAATGCGTGTGTGTGTGTGTGTGTGTATGTGTGAGAGAGAGAGAGGAATAGAGAGTCAGTGCGAGAGACAGAGTGTGTGTGAGAGAGAGTGCGATGGGGGCGGGTGGGGGTAGGTTAGAGACCAGGGTGTGAGAGTGCGGAGGGGCAGACAGTGTGACACTGTAGAGAGAGCTGGATGTGTGTCTGAGCTGAGCTGAGCTGTGCTGTGCTGTGTGCTGACAGACTGACCACTATAGCTGGGCTGGCAGCCTGAGTCACCACGCGGACACCATCCTGTCTCACCACGCCATGCAGCTCAACCTGTCACCTGCACACAAAGCTGCCGTGTGAGTATCCATCCCCACAACGGCCAGGACTCTCAAGGCCATCACTGTGTGTGTGTGTGTTGTGTCAGGTCTGTCTCTCAGTCTCTCTCTCTCTCTCTCTCTGAGTCTCCTTGTGGTTATCCAGGATGGTATTTACACAGTCTCCACTTGCCTGGCGCTGGGGCTCCTGCATGTCCCTCGTACCCTCCGTTCCACCATCAGCGGCCGCACTTTCAGCCACTGCACCCCCGGAACTCTGGACACTCTTCCTCTATCCCTTTGCCTTACACCTTCCCCATCTTCAGGTCGTGCCTGAAGACCTTCCGCTTTGACTGTGCCTACGGTCACCTCCCCCCGGCTCGGTGTCGTGCTCCACCACTGTCGAGCGCCCTGTGTGAGGGCTGCTGTGTAAATACAAGTTGTTGTTGTTGTGGCTACACAGGCTTCACATTGTTGTAGTGAGCCCAATATATCGGCGACACTGATGTCTACCCGGGTGCTGCAGTTTGGGATCTCTATGGGGTTAGTGAGAACTGGGCACTCGGGGTTAGTGAGCGTCTTTGGGGTGAGTGAGGGTCTTGGGGTGAATGACGGGCTGGGGTCTCTCTCCGCAGCGAGTGGCAGGCTTACAGCAAACACCACCAGAGCCGCTCCATGGATTACGCCTTCCTCCTGCAGCTGCTCCTCAACCTGGAGGAGAAATGGGAACCCGGAGACTTCAGCCGCGAGCAGGTGAGAGGCCACACAGCACCGTGACTGGGCTGTGAGCTCGGGGTGGTCACACGCCGGTGCTGTGCGATTATGGCGTGTGCGACTGCAGCGTGTGCGACTGCAGCGTGTGCGACTGTAGCGCGTGTGTGTGTGTAATGTGTGCGACTGTAGCGTGTGCGAATGTAGCGCGCGTGTGTAACGTGTCAGACTGTAGCATGCGTGACTAGCGTGTGTGACTAACATGCCATGGCTGCCTGTTACAGGAACAGGCTCTGGCCCAGAGCTTCAGTATGTTCAGTGAATACACTTGGGCTCTGCTGCACAAACTCCGCCAAGTTTTCCCCTTTAACATCACCGTCGCCCTGAGACGCCTGGAGCTGATCCTCAGGTACTGGCCCCGCCCGCACCCCCACTGCCCAGCCCCCACCCACACTTCTCCGCACCCACTGCCCAGCCCAACCCCCACCACCCGGACCCCACTGCCCAGCCCCACCCCCACACCCGGACCCCACTGCCCAGCCCCACCCCCACCACCCGGACCCCACTGCCCGGCCCCGCGCCCACCACCTGGTCCCGCCCACACCACCTGGCACCGCCCACACCACCCAGACCCACCCACAACACCCAGCCCCGCCCAAAACAGCTGTCGCCATCCACACAACCCGGCCCCGCCCAACCCCTCCCCCCCATTTGGCACTGAGCATGGCACTAACACTGGCAATGCTGATCACACACACAAACGCTGGATCTCCTCACAGTGATGAAAGCCTCCCAAGCGTTACTGATTTGCTATGTGATTGACCTCCCTCTCTGTCTCTATGTTACAGGCGTGTCTCTGTGTTGCAGGTGTGTCTGTGTTACAGGTGTCTACGTTATAGCATGTTTTGTGTCACAGGCATGTCTGTGTGTCACCGGTGTGTCTCTATGTTATAGCATGTTGCGTGTTTTATAGGCATGTCTCTGTTACAAGTGTGTTTGTTACAGGTGTCTATGTGATAGCATGTTTTATGGTACAGGGGTGTCTGTGTATTATAGACGTGTCTGTGTGTTATAGGCGCATCTGTGTATTTTAGGCATGTCTGTGCGTTGTAGGCACGTCTGTGTGCTATAGGTGCGTGTGTGTTATAGGTGCGTGTGTGTTTTAGACATGTCTGTGTGTTTTACACATGTCTGTGTGTTATAGGCATGTCTGTGTGTTATAGGCGTGGCTGCGGGTTGTAGGCGTGCCTGCGTCTTATAGGCGTGCCTGCGTGTTACAGGACCGCCTGCGTGTTGCAGGCCAGCCTGCGTGTTGTAGGCCAGCCTGCGTGTTGCGGGCCCGTCTGCGTGCAATAGGCGCGTCCGCGTCAGCGTACCCGCGTGTCACAGGCATGTCTGTGTGTTACAGGTGTATGTGCCAGATGTACTCCATGCCAGTCTTTGCCAAGGTTTCCCCATTCCACAATGAGCTGCATGTGGAGCTGACCGCGGTGATGAAGGTAAACATTGGTTTATAGAAAAACACTAACATTCCCCTGATCCCACCAGTGGCCACTGCCCTCACTGCTCCCTGTGTTTGTGTCGCAGAAAGCCACCAGCGACTGGTACGAGAAAATGTCTGAGAGTTTCAAGTTGGAAATGACGGTACGGAGCATGGGTGCTGCATGCGGGCACAGTGGGGGAGGGGAGCTGGGATGGGGGCAGTGGGGGAGGGGAACTGGGCTGGGGCAGTGGGGGAGGGGGGCTGGGCTGGGGCAGTGGGGGAGGGGGGGCTGGGGTCTGGGCTGGGGGCAACGGGGGAGGGGAGCTGGCTGGGGCAGTGGAGGAGGAGGCTGGGGTCTGGCTGGGGGCAACGGGGAGGGAGCTGGGCTGGGGCAGTGGGGAGGGGAGCTGGCTGGGGCAATGGGGGAGGGGAGCTGGGCTGGGGCAGTGGGGGAGGGGAGCTGGGCTGGGGCAATGGGGGAGGGGAGCTGGGCTGGGGCAGTGGGGGAGGGGGGCTGGGCTGGGGCAGTGGGGGAGGGGGGCTGGGGTCTGGGCTGGGGGCAATGGGGGAGGGGAGCTGGGCTGGAGGCAGTGGAGGAGGAGGGCTGGGGTCTAGCCTGGCGCCCCACGTCTGGGGGAGCTGGGTTGCGTCTCTCACTTGACTGTATCTCCGCAGAGCGAGCTGGGGCAGCTGAAGGCTTTGGTGGAGCTGGTGGACATGGTGTGTCTGGATCTGCAACGCAACCAGAATGTGTACAATAAACTCTTCATCAGGTACCAGTGACCTCACACAGCAACACACAACACAGTAAAGCCCCTCTCCACTGTGCGTCCACACTCCCGGGTCAGGGGTAGAGACACAGTAAAGCTCCCTCTCCACTGTGCGTCCACACTCCCGGGTCAGGGTTAGAGACACAGTAAAGCCCCTCTACGCTGTGCGTCCACACTCCCAGGTTAGGGTCAGAGACATAGTAAAGTTTTGAGATCAGTGTGACTGACTGACTGAGGCTGACAATTTCTCCATGATGTCTGGTTGTGTGTTTGCAGTATTGTGAAGGTGGATTACTTCAGCCTGACGTACCGGCTACTGGAGAAGCAGGTAAGAGGAACGTTCATCACCCTCACGAGTTACAGGCGCCCGATGTGTGTGTGAGAGTATGACGGTGTGTGTGTGTTGGTGTGTGTGTGATAGTATGTGTGTGTGTGTGTGAAATGGTTTGTGAGTGTTGGTGTGTGAGTGTTTGTGTGTGTGTGACAATGAATGTTGGTGTGTGTGAGATGGTGTGTGAGTGTTGGTGTGCGTGTGTGTGAGACGGTGTGTGTGTTGGTGTGTGTGTGTGTGAGACGGTGTGTGTGTGTGTGACGGTGTGTGAGTGATGGTGTGAGTGTGAGTGTGAGAGTGACTGATCCCACGGTGCCCACAGGTGGCGGAGGATGTGAACCAGCTGATGGAGGAGGTGACGGAGGCGATGGAGGAGGGAAAGGCCAGGATGACCCAGCAGATGGGGGAGATCTTGTTCGAGCTCTACCTGTCTCTCAAAGAACTCCAGCAGCTCAAGGACTTTCTCCCTCTGAGGTGAGTGACCCTATGGACCACCCTGTCTGCTCTTCACCTCATTCCTCTCAGGACGCCTATCATTGTGCTAACTCTTCATGTCTCTCCTGTTCCCCCTCCAACGTTCTCCCCCCCTCTCTCTCCCCTCTCTCTCCCAATCCCCCTCTCCCCCCCCCCCCCCACCTCTCCTCCTCTCTGGCCCCTCTTCCCACTCACCCACCCCGCTTCTCCCCTTCCTCCATCTCCCTCACCTCTCCCATCCTATCTCTCCCCCGGTCTCTCCCCTTTTCTATGTCTCTTCCCCTCTCCCTCTCTCCCCACCTCTCTCACGTTCTCTTGTCTCCTTCCCCTCCCTCTGTCCATCTCCCTCTCTCCCCTCCTCTTTCACCACTCTCCACGTCCCCCTCTCTTTCCCCCCTTCCCTCCCTCTCTTTCCTCCACCTCTCTTGCCCCCCCCTCCCCTTCCCCTCACCCACCCCCTCCACAGGGATTCGAAATCTCTAGCTCTGGTCGGTTTCCACGACTGGTTCCAATCGTCAATCAACAAGTGGCTGCAGATTGTGCACAAGAAATCCTGTGAGAGAATCCGCAAAGCTGTGGAGATGGACCAGGTAACGGGTGGCAAATGGGGGAGAGACCGAAACCCCAAATGTTTGGGGGAGGGGGGAGAGGTTATTTGTCTGGCTGATGCCTCTCGCTCTGTATTTTTTCTGGGCAGCCGAGTGTCTGACACACACATTTCTTGGCATCCCACCTACACATGGGAATCCCGGAGATAGACTGTTGGAATGGAGAGCGCATTCTCGCTCTTTCCCTGGAGGCATCCTGCTTACCTAATTCCAGAGAGTATTAGGAGCAGGTTGGCGAGAGCCAAGGCTGGAAGCAGCCCAGAGTGTGTGTTGGGGTAACTGCTGGAGTCTAACCAGCTAAGCCAATGTATCTTGGCCATTGATGCTGCTGTTTGGCAAGCTTTCCCGCTGCTTGTCCAGCTAGGACCACCCTCCTGGTTAGGGCTTTCGCTTGCAGGGTTCTCAGGAGCTGAGAGGGAGGATTCCCTGCCTCCATTGACTGGTCTGCCTTCCAGGTCCTGCCGATGAGAGAGGGGGGTGGGTGCAAGGGGGAGAGAGGGAGGGGGCAAGTGAGGGGAGGGAGGGTTGGGGACAGACTGATGCTACCCTGGCTACTGTCTATAGTTGGAGCCTGTGGACTCGCTGTCCAGGCACAGCAGCTCTGCGGTGGACGTGGTGACCTGCTTCTCACAGATCAGGAACTTCTGGCTGCAGCTGGCGTGGCCCGACCCCATGGGGGCCTTCATCTTCATCACCAGGATCACTGACGTGAGTAACTGGGAGGGGGTGAGGGAGAGGGATTGCGCGGGTAAGAGAGGGAGGGAGCGAGAGACGGGCAGGGAGGGAGAGAGAGGGAGGGAGGAAGACATAGTAAAGTGAGATCACTCACATGAGCAGCCGGGGTGACGGGCAACTGTGTCACTGGCACCCCCTGATCCACCACTGCCACAGCCTTGGGCCACAGCCCCCATTCCTACCTCCTCTCCCTGTGTTTCCCGGCAGGACATCTGCAGTGGAGCCGTGCTGTACTCCGAGCTGATACGACAGAAAGCGGAGATAGAGACCAAAATCAGCCAACAGGTGAGGCCACCCCGCTAGCTGCACCCCCTCCCTGCTAGCCACACGCACCCCACTAGCCACAAACCCCCCCGCTAGCCACACCCCACCTGCTGCCTCCCCTCCACTGGCTCCTGCATGTCCCTCGTGCTTTCAGCCACTACACCCTGAAACTCTGGAACTCTCTCCCTCTATCCCTCCACCTTGCCCCTTCTTTCCCCATCTTCAGGTCAAGTCTGAAGACTTTCCTCTTCGACCATGCCTACAGTCACCTCCGCCACCCCACCCACCCCCCGCCCCCGGCTCGGTATCGTGTTGTCACAGTCTGTGTCTCTTTCTGTGTGTGTCTCTCTCTCTCTCTCTCCCGGGGTCCAAAGCTGTGTATAGCCCTGAACAACATTGAGCACGTGCAGCAGTACATCTCCGAGCTGCCTGGGACTCTAGACTGGCACGGGGTGGAGGTGGCCCTGGAGCAGCTTTGTGGACCCGACGGTAAACAGCAGGTACAGAAGGCGCTGAGCAGCCAACTGCAGAGCATCGACATCGGCATGCAGCGAGAGGCCAAGTACACCATCCAACAGATCGTGGCCAAGGTGAGGGGCTGCTAGCGGGCAGGCTGGGCAATGGGTTGGGGGAGGGCAGGCTGAGCAATGGGTGGGAGGAGGGCGGGCTGGGCATTGGGTAGGAGGGAGGACAAGCTGGGCAATGGGTGGGAAAGGGCAGCCAGTCAATGGGGTTGGGGTGGGGGGAGAGGCATTAGGGCTATTGGGAATGCGGCCATCGGGAGTGTTTAAGAAGCTCCGGGAAAAACAGTGTCTAAACTGAATCTCCATCCTGCCACGGTGGATCCATTGGGAGTGTGGCCAGTGGAAGAGGATGAATTGGAGAGGAAATAAACCTTCATTAACAACAACTTGCATTTATACAACCCCCAAATTAACATGTTGATACACAGTACAGCTAGTATATTGAATAATTTAACAGTGACCAGATACATACTCAAGGAAAGTTAATATTAGAGAGAATGGGGTTAGAGTAGAGAGCTCCAGTGGGTGAGTGAGCACCAGCACAGACATTATGGGGAGAGAGATAGCAGAGAATGGGGTTAGAGGAGAGAGCTCCATTAGGGGAGCGAGCACCAGCACAGTCAAGATGATTAAAGTTTTGTCATTGTTTCTCTGCAGATGGACACCGACTCGAGGAAGTATCTCCAACACATCAGTCTGTCCCCTGACTCCATCCAGCCCGATGATGTATGTACATTAGCACATTCTCCCTGGGTAATGGTGACTGTCCCTGGGAGGTGAGGGTGGGAGGAGGTGAGGGAAGGAGGGTGGGAAGAGGTGAGGGAGGGCGGGGGGAGGGTAGGAGGAGGTGAGGGAGGGCGGGAGAAAGGCTGGGAGGGAGGAGGTGAAGGAGGGCAGGTGGAGGTAAGGGTGGTAGGAGGTGAGGCAGGGAGGGAGCAGATGAGGGAGGGTGGAAAGGAGGGAGGTGATGGTGGGAGGAGGTGAGGGAGGGCGGGAGGAGGCGAGGGAGGGCGGGAGGCTGACTCGCTGACTCCCTGTTGTCCACAGGCCGTGTCGCCCCTCATGAAGTTCCTGGATGATAACCTGATGATTCTCAGCGAGTGGCTGGTTAGAGAGAACCTCAGCAGGTAGCGATGCTCACAGCTCACACACTGACTATCTGTCTAACTGTCTCCTGTGTGTGTGTGTGTGTGTAAGTGACTGTACTCTGGCTGTTCCCAGGATACTCAGTGCTCTGTGGAAGCTGCTACTGGATTTGATTGAGGAAATCCTGGCCGAAAATCGTGGTTTGTCCATGGAATTCTACGGGCGTTTTCACTTCACACTGGAGGTAAGGAAATGGGGTGTGTATCTGTGTGTGTGTGTGACTGGGCTGTGTCTGGGGAAGGGCAATGTCAAGGCGGGGGGAGTGGGATGATTACCTGCTGTAACCGTGTTCGTGTCTCCAGGCGCTGGTGGAATTCTTCCACGCGGAAGGTCAGGGGCTGTCACTGGAGGAACTCCGCAACAAGGAGTACCAGGTCAGTCACTCTCTGGGGGGGTGGGGGCGCGGGGCTTGCTCACTGTCTGTCTCACACTGTCTTTCACACTCTCTGACACTCACTCTCAGGCTGTGTAATTTGTTGCTTTTGGTAGGGGGCTATGTCTCAGTGTATGTGCGTCTCTGTGCCACTGACTCGGGGGTCTGTGTATGTGAGTCTGTGTGTCACTAACTCGGGGCTGTGTGTGTGTGTCTCAGGGTATTGAGGAGGAGCTTCGTCTCAACAAGTGCACAACCCGGCAGCTGATCGAGCAGTTTTTCCTGGACAAACTTCACCAGCAGGTACCGACCCCCTAACTCCCCCTCAAACGTGCCCCCCTAACTCCCTGCCAAACCTACCCCACCAAATCTGCCCCCACAAATCCCCCCAACCCTACCCCAACTCCCCCCAAACCTGCCCCCACACATCCCCCCAACCCTACCCCAACTCCCCCCAAACCTGCCCCCACCAAACCTGCCCCCTAACCTGCTCCCCCGAACTCCCCGCAAACCTGCCCCGCCCCCACCCCCAGCCTCAGTCAGGACCCACCCCGTCTCCACGTGTCAGACCAGTTGTGACTGAATATTGAAGCCGGTTTGTGTTTTAGAAGCTCTAAAGTGAACCGCGATAGCAGAGCCGGAGCTGGGATTTGGGGATTTGGGGAATAACGGTAAACGTTAATGTTCCCACGGCAGAAATCCATGGAGCACTCGCCGTACGGCACGTTGGTTATCAAGCTCTATTACAACACCATCGATCACAAGCTGCATGTCCTGGTGCTGCATGCCACCAACCTCATCGCCCTGGACTCCAACGGTACAGCTCACTTACCCTCACACTCACAACAATGCACGCACACACACTGCACACACTCACACATTGCACACATACACACACCGCACACACACACTCACACGGCACTAACACACAGACACACACACACACACCGCACATACAACACACACACACAAACATATATACATATACAACACAAATACACACATGCACGCAACACACGATATGCCACACACACAGCACGCCATGGCGCACATGCACATCACACACACACACGCACATGGCACAGACATGGAATTATCTACACACATTGGACACGTGTTGCATTCATTCACATTCACTGGATACACGTCACATTCACGCATGCGGTGCATTCACTCATTTACATGAATGAGACACGGCTGGAATTTACCCCGGTTGTGGGACTGAACTAACAATCTCTCTGTGTTTTTGTGTGTATGTCTGTTTGTGTGTGTGTGTGTGTCTGTGTCTGTCTGTCTGTGTGTGTGTGGTGTGTGTGTGGTGTGTGTGTGTATGTCTGTTGGTGTGTGTCTGTGTGTGTGTGTGTGTGTGTCTCTGTGTGTGTGTCTGTGTGTGTCTCTGTGTCTCTGTGTCTGTGTGTCTGTCTGTCTGTCTGTCTGTCTGTCTGTCTGTGTCCTGGCCTTAGGGCTCAGTGATCCCTTTGTTATAGTTCACTTGGCTCCTCACCACAGCTTTCCTGGGGTCAAAGGGCATCGCACACAAGTCAAAACTAAGACGCTGCACCCAGTCTACGATGAGCATTTTCACTTGTAAGTCAGCTCCCACCTTATGTTACCACTAACTCCCCACCTGCTCCTCCTCCCACCCTCCCGGCCCTCCGCCCCTCTTGATCCCAACCTCCAGATCGGGTCCAAATCCCAGGGTTCTGAGTGAGATGGGCACTAATGGGCGGGGCAGTAGGGAGGTGGATGGGGTAGTAGGGTGGTAGGTGGGGCAGGGGCGATGCCCACCCTCCCAGGACAGGCATTGGGCGGGATGGTGGGTGGGTGAGGTGGGCGGGGCAGACCGGGTGCTAACCCTCTCAGCACGGTCAGTGTTGAACATTGGGCAGGGTAGTGTGTGAGGTGGATGGGGCAGTGGGTAAGGTGGGTTGGGCAGTGGATGAGGTGGGCGGGGCGGTAGGTGGGGCAGTGGCTGAGGTGGGAGGAGCAGTGGGTGAGGTGGGCAGGGCAGTGGGTAAGGTGGGCAGGGCAGTGGGTGAGGTGGGCGGGGCAGGTGTGGAAGTGGGTGGGGTGGGTGGGGCAGTGGGTGAGATGGCAGGGGCAGCGGGTGCGATGGGCAAGCCAATGGGTGAGGTGGGCAGGGCAGGTGTGGCTGTGGGTGAGGTGGGCGGGGCAGTGGTGAGGTGGGCGGGGCAGTGGGTGAGGCGGGCGGGGCAGTGGGTGCGGCGGGCGGGGCAGTGGGTGAGGTGGGCGGGGCAGTGGGTGAGCTGGACGGGGCAGTGGGTGAGGTGGGCGGGGCAGTGGGTGAGGTGGGCGGGGCAGTGGGTGAGGTGGGCGGGGCAGTGGGTGAGGTGGCGGGACAGTGGGTGAGGTGGGCGGGGCAGTGGGTGAGGCGGGCGGGGCAGTGGGTGCGGTGGGCGGGGCAGTGGGTGAGGTGGGCGGGGCAGTGGGTGCGGATTGGCGGGGCAGTGGGTGCAGTGGGCGGGCAGTGGGTGAGGTGGGCGGGCGGTGGGTGCAGTGGGCGGGGCGGTGGGTGAGGTGGGCGGGGCGGTGGGTGAGGTGGGCGGGGCGGGGCGGTGGGCGAGGTGGGCGGGGCAGTGGGTGCGGTGGGCGGGGCAGTGGTGCGGTGGGCGGGGCAGTGGGTGAGGTGGGCGGGGCGGTGGGTGAGGTGGGCGGGGCGGTGGGTGCGGTGGGCGGGGCAGTGGGTGAGGTGGGCGGGGCAGTGGGTGCGGTGGGCGGGGCGGTGGGTGCGGTGGGCGGGGCGGTGGGTGCGGTGGGCGGGGCAGAGATGGTGCTAACCCTCCCTCTCGCTCTCTCTCAGTACGGTCAGTGTAGAGCAGTGCCGGCTGAGAGCTGCCTGTATCCACTTGACGGTGATGGACCACGACTGGCTCTCCACCAATGACTTTGCGGGGGAGGCGGTGAGCCCACTGGGGCAGGTGCCGGGCCTGGACGGGGTCCTCGTGCCGGGGGGCTTGAAGAACACCCCCGCCCTCACCCTCAAACTCACCCACCCGGGATCCAGAGGTAACGCCAGCGGCGACACGGCCTGTCTCCCCAGTGTCCCCCGCGCAGCTGTGTCTCAATGTCCCCTGGACTCCCAGAGCAGACATCACACAGCTAGAGACAGTCACTGACTGGCAGGGGCCATCCCCAGAGCCCGGCCATGGCTGTGTGGCGCGGAGGTGTGTGGCGTGTTGGTGGGGCATGCGTGTGCACGTGAGCTGGCTGCCGGCTGTGGCATGTTGTGTGGCGTGTGCGCGTGAGCTGGCTGCCGGCTGTGGCATGTGTGGCGTGTGCGAGTGAGCTGGCTGCCGGCGGGGTCAGTGTGTGTGGGGGTCAGTGGTGGGGGGGTTAGTGTTGTGGGGTCAGTGTTTGGTGGTGGGGGATGGGGGGGGATCAGTGTGTGGGGGGTCAGTGGTGGTGGGGTGGGGGGGGAGTGTGGGGGGTCAGGTGTGTGGGGGGTTAGTGTGTGGGGGGGTCAGTGTGTGGTGGGTGGGGGGTCAGTGTGTGGTATGTGGGGGGTCAGTGTGTGTGGGGGGTCAGTGTGTGGGGGGGGTGGGGGTCAGTGTGTGGGGTCAGTGTGTGGGGGGGTCAGTGTGTGGGGTGGTGGGGGTGGGGGGGGGGGGGGGATCAGTGGGAGGGAGACAGAGCGAGTCTCTGACACTGATGGTGTTTTGCTTAGTTTACCCAACACTGGAGGAGAAGCTGCAGAGACAGTGGGACAAGGCTGAGCAGCTGCTTTACGATGAGCTCATCACCCACCAGGTACCTTCCCCACTGCCCCCCACAGTGCCCTGACCCTCCCACACCGTGACCCCTCTCCCCCCACCGGCCTGTGTGTGTGTGTGTGAGGCTGTGTGTGTGAGGCTGTGTGTGAGGCTTGTGTGTGTGGCTGTGGTGTGGTGTGTGTGTGATGGTGTGTGTGTGTGAGATTGTGTGTGTGTGACGGCTGTGTGTGTGTGTGGCTGTGTGTGTGTGTGAGGGTGTGTGTGTGTGTGTGTGAGGCTGTGTGTGTGTGTGAGGCTGTGTGTGTGTGAGGCTGTGTGTGTGTGAGTGTTAGGCTGTGTGTGGGGGGGGCTCTGTGTGTGTGAGGCTGTGTGGTGTGTGTGTGTGTGAGGCTGTGTGTGTGTGAGTGTTAGGCTGTGTGTGTGGGGTGCTGTGTGTGAGTGCGAGGCTGTGTGTGTGAGTGTGAGGCTGTGTGTGTGTGAGTGTGTGTGTGAGTGTTAGGCTGTGTGTGGGGGGGGCTCTGTGTGTGTGAGGCTGTGTGTGTGTGTGAGGCTGTGTGTGTGTGTGAGGCTGTGTGTGTTTGAGGCTGTGTGGTGTGAGGCTGTGTGTGTGTGTGAGGCTGTGTGTGTGGTGTGAGGCTGTGTGTGTGTGTGTGAGGCTGTGTGTGTGTGTGAGGCTGTGTGTGTGTGTGAGGCCGTGTGTGTTTGAGGCTGTGTGTGAGGCTGTGTGTGTGTGTGAGGCTGTGTGTGTGTGTGTGAGGCTGTGTGTGTGTGTGAGGCTGTGTGTGTGTGTGTGAGGCTGTGTGTGTGTGTGTGTGTGTGTGAGGCTGTGTGTGTGTGAGAGACTGTAACTCGCTGTGTTTCAGGGCTACAGGAAGCTGCTGAGATCTATCTTCGAGGAGGTTGGGTACCTGGTGGCAGAGAGAGAAACACTGTCCTCACAGCCCCCAGCACAGCAGCCACTGGCCTCCTGCAGCGAGGTACAGCCTGTGGGGTTATATCTGTGTGTGTGTGATATAAAGCGTATCACTGTGTGTATATACAGTGTATCAGTGCTGTGTATATACAGTGTATCAGTGCTGTGTATATACAGTGTATCAGTGCTGTGTATATACAGTGTATCTCTGTGTATACAGTGTATCTATGTGTGTTACACAGTGTATCTGTGTGTGTATATATATATATACATACAGTGCATTTGGGTGTATCTGTACACAGTATGTATGTAGTTTTGGGTGGAGGGGTGTGACGTGGGGGGGAAGATTACTGTGTAAACCGAGCTGTACACTATGTAACCTGCCGGAGCTGGCAGTGTGGGGGGGTGCGGTGCTGTCAGTGATATGAATATTTCAGTGTAACACAAAGCTGCCCCTCTCCCCCCCCCCCCCTCCCCCCCCGCAGGAGCGCAGGAAACTGGCAGCTGAGGTGCAGGAGCTGAGGGCATTACTGAACCAACACAACATCACAGTCAGAGAGCAGTCCGGTCAGTAACACCAACAGCCACTATCTCCGCACAGTACACACACTTACACACACACACCCCTCACACTCAACACACACCTCACACTCACAGACTCACACGCCTCACACTCAAGACACAGACCTCACACACACCTCACATAACACACACAGACACACACCTCACACTCACACCACACTCAGACAGACACACACGCCTCACACTCAGACACACACGCCTCACACTCAGACACACACACCTCACACTCAGACATACACACCTCACTCACACTCATACAGACACACACCTCACACTCACACTCATACAGACAGACACACACCTCACACTCACAGACTCACACGCCTCACACTCAGACAGACACACACCTTACACACACAGACCAGGAACAAAGTCAACACAATTTGAGTTGTGCTTTTGTGGTTCTGGTCAGAACTTTGTTTCGTGTCATTGTTCACACACTGGAGGCTGAGCTGAGCCCCGGGAACAACTGGCAGGTGACTGATTGTCGTCAATATGACTTTCTCCAGGTCCAGCGGCTTCAGAGCCAAGTACCCGGCGCCCGACTTCGCCCTCACTCGCTCCCCGGCACCTCAGAGGGGATGAGGGGCTTCGGGACGACGCACAGCGAAACCCCCTCCCCTAGGAGCAGTGACTAAGGCTGAGCAGAGACCGAGGAGCCGCGGAGGTCAGGACCAGACAGAATGGCCGCTTGCCCCTCCCCCCTCGCTGGCCCCCCTCCCCAGGCATCGCTCATCCCCCCTCGCTAGGCCTTGCTGAGTGGAAGTAGGAAAGTGCGTCTTGTTTTGTTTCTGAACCCAATGAAAGACTTTTTACTCCACAACAAACATCAAAACAAACATCTCATTTATTTATTTCCGTCTCCGCAAAAAGTGCAAATGTGAAAAGCAAGAACAGATCCTGTCCCTCCCACCTCCATCCACACCGCAGCTTGGGCCTCGCACACGCCAGCCTCACACTCACACACACCAGCCTCACACATACATACATATCCCGGCCTTGCACACGCACGCAACTTGCATTTACACAGCGCCCCTCACACTGGACAGCGTCCCAGAACGCTTGACAGTGGCAGAGCGCAACGCCGAGCTGGGGCGAGGGTGGGGGGAGGTGACAGTAGGCCTGGTCGCATAGGAAAGTCTTCAGGTCCAACTTGAAGATGGGGAAAGAAGGCGCAAGGTGGCGGGATAGAGGGAGAGTGTTCCAGAGTTTCGGGCATAGTGGCTGAAAGCGCGGGCGCTAATGGTGGAACGGTAGACATGAGGGACATGCGGAAGGCCGGAGACGGTCGAATGGAGGCAGTGGGTTGTGGGTTGGGGGAGTGAGCAGGTCAGAGAGGTAGGGAGGTGCCAAGGCATGAAGGGATTCGAAAACGAGTGTGAGGATCTTGAAATTGATCCTTACAGCGCTGGGGAGCCAGTGGAGCTTGGCTAGAACTGCTGTGATGGTGGATGGAGTTTAGTTCGAGTGAGTACACGAGTTGGATCAACTGGATCCTGTGCTTGATGGAGCTGGGGCCTGTCACACACTGAACGCTCCCCAGTATCTGGAGGAAGTTGTTGGAAGTTGCTGGTGTCCAAGCTCCAGGACAGACAGGATGGAGTAAGAGCAGGAAACTGGGTTTTGATAGCTCAGGAGACATTTCAAAGGAGCAAAGAGAGAGACAGAGCTTTGAGAGAGGTGCAGAGCAGAGCAAGGGGGGCAGCCAAGGCAGTATAACAATTCCATCAAGAGGCACAGATTAATTTTTGGTCTCTATTGTCACCAACATCCCTGCATTTAGAGGTTAATGCTTTAGTGATCCGTGTGTGGATCAGACATTGAGAAGGCACACAGCCTGAGAGTGCTCGCTCTCTCTCCAGTTTCCTCTGTTAGACACTCCGGCCTTTCTTATGCTACAAAAGACGGGAAGAAATCCTCGGGCACTGCTCCCACTTTGGGAGAAACCTTGACTATTTCCCCCCAGCCGCCCCCCCCCTCCGTGAGGGCAACAACTTGCCTGACATTGTGTCTGAGAGCAGAAGATTTAAACCCAAGCAAGACTCGCTTTCTAAATAATAACAATAATCTTTGCACTTGATGCAGCGTCTTATCATGTCGAGATGTTTCAAAGCACTTTCATTTAAACAAAATTAAATTTCAGCCTTACAGACACCCTGGCCTTTCAATGTCACCTTCACATTGAGGAAAAAGCCCCCCCCCCCACTGTGTTCCCCCTCCTCGAGACGGTAGCGAAACCCACCCTGAGCCCAACTCTGGCTCCCACTCAGAGGTTCAGCCTCAGGATTTTTTTGGTATAAAAATCTGCATCGACTGAGGATGCGTTAGGAGGGATATGACCACATCCCCCTGCCCCCCGCCCTCGCCCCCTCCCCCCACCACCACAGGTTAATGGGAGGAGGTCAGGTCAGGGCGATGGTCAGGATTTGGCTTTGCCGATGTCCGCCAGTAGGTTCTGCAGGACTTGGATCTCTGTGAGGAGCGAAGTCGCTGTTTCGCTCAGAGTCTTGTTCTTCTGTTCCAAGTTGCCGCATTCCTGCTCCAGCGCCCGCTGCTCCGCTCGCTTCTTCCACCTGTACCGGACCGCCGCGCTCTTGTTCTGCTCCATCTTCTTGTGCTTCCTGCTGCCGGGGGGTGGAGTCCGCCTGGCTCCAGCCCCGCCACCACTGGGCCGGCTTCTCCCCCCGCCGACCAGCCTGGCCACACCCCGGCTCCCGGGCTCTGACAGACCAGGTCCGCGGTCACTCTCTCTTCCTGGAGCCGACTCTGATTTGGTACCCGCAGCGACTGGGAGGAAACTGGGATCGTCCTGGCCTCCGGCCAGCTCCCCGGCGTTCCCCACTGGCTCGTCAATGTCTCCGGTAACTGACAGGCTCCAGTCACTGAAATGACATCCAGTCGTCCTCAAAGACGGCAGGTCAAGCAAGTGATGCGTTTCGCTCGTCAAGGAAGTGTCATCGCTCAAATGACACACAACGGTCGTCAAGGAAGTAAGGTTGTTCAACTGGCTCGGGTCAATGGTCGAGGAAGTGAACTGAGGCGAAGGTGGAGGTGTGTGGGGGGCCACCTGATCGCTGGAGGCCGCTGGCTCCAGGGCCTCGCTCGGGGCCCCCCCCGGCAGCTCCGGGATACTCGGCAGCAGCTTCAGGGTGTCCTCGGCCGCGCACAACAGCTCCTCTGGGGACAGCGGGACCCCCTCAATCACACTGTGCAGCAAACTGAAGTCCATCCTCTCCGCCATCCAATCCATCTCTGCAATTCCTGTAACAAACGACAGTCAATCAGAAGCTCTCTCTCTGCCCTTATTCACACACATTCACACAAGACTGATGGGCAGCTCTTCTGAAGAGCCGGCACGGGCACGATGGGCCGAATGGCCTTCTGTGCTGTTAATATTTTATGATTCTATGAGTGACCAGATTGTGCCAACAGTCTGAGGAGCCAGCGGGGCAGCAGAAAACAGTAATAATCCTTGCATTTGATATAGCACTTTATCACGTGGTTGAGGCTTCTCAAAACGCTTCACAGAATATGCTGTAAAGTGGATTGACTGTATTTTGTGGATAAAATGCAGCAGTCAATTGCTCACAGCACAACACAACTGCCGTAGATTGAGTGAGTGAATTTTTTTTGAGGGATTATTACCCCCGGAAAGTGAACCACCAATCGACTAACAACCAAGTTTCTACTTATTGCTGGTAAACATCCTTCAGAGGATCCAGTTCAAGATCCTGGTTCTCACATACAAAGCCCTCCATGGCCTCGCCCCACCCTACCAACCCACCCGTTCCCTCCGATCAGCCGGCTCTGGCCTGCTCCACGTCCCCTGACCCACCCATCCCACCATTGGCGGGAGAGCCTTCAGCCACTCTGCCCCCCAATCTCTGGAATTCCACCCCCCAATCACTCCGCCTCGCCCCCTCCTTAGCCTCCTTCAAGTCCCTCCTCAAGATCCTCCTCTTCGACCATGCCATCGGCCACCCCCCTTCCCCTCCCCACCCCCCCAACCCCAGCTCGGGTCTGAAATGCTGTACTCTGTCCAGCGCCTTGGGACGTCCTTCCGACGTGAAAGGCGCTATACAAATAATAATAATACTTGCATTGATATAGCGCTTTTCACGTCGGGAGGACGTCCCAAAGCGCTTCACAGAACACACTGTAAAGTGAATTGACTGTATATTTGTGGGCGAACGCGGCAGCCAATTGCGCACAGCAATGTCCCACAAACAGTCGTAGGTTGAAAATGACCAATTTATTATTGTTTTGGGTTTTGGAGGGATTATTATTAGGCTCTGTGTGGAGTAAGGAAACTTGCCCAAGGTTTCGCCCTCTGCCTGGAATTGAACTCGGGTCTCTCACTTGCAAAGCGAGTGCTCTAACCACTGAGCTACAGGACTTGTAATTGTTGTTGTTGTAAACAGAGGCTTGTGGAGTAAGGAAACTCACCTCACGTTTTGCCTTATTAATCCTTTAATAAGATATTTCGAATGAAGCACCAAAGACCCATTGATGCTGTTTCAACCATCATCAGAGAACATTGGTGCAGTGTTGGCTTCCGGTCACCAGGTGCCATCACGATACCATGTTCTAATCTAAAAGGATATAGAGGCCACTTAGTGGCTGATTGATGACACTACACCGTCCGTCTTCACATGAACCCCAAGACTGGACTCCTGACTCACTGCTTCCCAAACTGAGAAGGGACTAATCCCAGCTCAACGCTCACACTCTGCCTCCAGAAAGGAAAGAAACCTTTTGTGGTGTTGTCATCTTGTCCTTGTCCCTATCTCAGTGACCTCAATTCCACAGAGGAACACAGCAATGAACAGGACCAGCATAAACATTACAGCTGTCAGCAGATCTCATTCCCAGTTATAATCTCTCCCCATCTCTCACTACACTCCCCCTGGTTTTAATGGGGGGGGGGGGGGGGGAAGCGGGATGTAAAGATTTGCTGCAATGAATAGGGTAGTTCTCACTGAATGAGCAGCAGGAAACATGTCTGACAGAGCTCTTGATGGCAAGCTGTGTGGTTTTAACTGGTTAAACAGCAGGAGTTACCCTGGAACACATGCTCTCGGGTTTCCCCAAGGCACCAAATCAGGATACGCTTCTCCGGGGGGGGGGGGGGGAGTGTAATCCATTCTACACACAGGTGGCTTAACGAAGTGGAACTGTGAGTCTGCACACCCTGTTCTCGAGATAGATCTGCTTGCCGCAGAGTAAGGTTCAAAGTCAAGACATCAGTGCCAATGAACCCTTGAATTGGCATTATGACCCAGGCCACGCACGTGTTCTCCAATTCTCCTCATTAATTTTCTGGATGGCAGTGAAGAGGAAGGCCTGAAGTTGCTGGACAGGTTTCTCGGGATCAGCATTCTTTACACAAACCAATCCTCCTACTCGTGTACTGCAGACACCCAACAATGTTGAACTCTCCGCACTATGGTCCCTTTCCCAGAGCTCGTAGGTCAGACCTTTTTTTATAAATGGCCACATCAGAGCAGCTTAGCAGACAGTTAAATAGTCAAAAAGAAAAAAAGTAAAAGGAGATGGGAAAAAGAGTGGAACCAAACTAATAGTGGAATCCTGTAGCTCTGTGGTTAGAGCACTAGCCTTATAAGCGAGAGGATCTGGGTTTGATTCCCGGGCAATGCAAAATGTTGGGCAAGTTTCCTTGCCCCACACGCCTCTGTTTACCGAGCAGTAAATAGGAATCCAGCTGTTAGTTGATTGGCAGATCGCTTTTCTAGGGGTAACAATCCTTTTTAAAAAAAATTAAAAACAATTTGGTCAATCAATCCACGACTGTTTGTAGGACACGGCTGGTGCGCAATTGGCTGCCCCGTTTCGCTCACAAAATGTTGTCAATGCACCTAACGGTAGATTTGAAGCGCTTTGAGACGGTTTGAAGACATTACATGGCGCAAATATTAAACGCAAGGATTATTATTATTATAAAAGATCTCAGACAGCTGGCAAAGGCACGGGGGCCTCCTGCTCGCGCGTTGTGAAACCGAATGGCTTTACCCTGCAGGAGACGAGCTTGACAGCGTCAATTCACGCTCGGTCAAAATGATCACATCCGACACGGAGTGAAGAGTCGGGACTCTTCGTGTCTTCTTCCAAGACATGTTACAGCTCGGCTCAAGGTCACCGGCAAATACCAGACCATTGGACACGCACTCTCTCGGAAATCTCAGGTTAACAGAACAACCAAAGGCCAACAATCGCTCCTCTCAGGTCGAACCCAACCACAGCATTTAGGTTCTTCATTTCCTTGCGGTTTTCTTTCCTTAACATTACGATCCCCACAACTTCCAGGTCACTTTGCTCGTTTGGGTTTTTCTAAAAACTTTTTCATCTGGAAACGATTTTATTAAAGACCAACCACTTGGGCGGCACCAGTCAAGAGTTTATCTGAGGTGGGGGCGAGACTGGGGCAAAGCCAGAACCCAGAGACCGCTCACTCGCTCGCTCACTCCGCACTGAACATCTGCAGCTAAACGTTTGCATTAGTAAAAACTGGACAAAAAATGTACAATTATTGCACATCTGTAAATATACAAAGGTCAGAGGTTTAGATCCCCGCAACACATACAGGTGTGTGTGTGTGTGTGTGGGGGGGGGGGGGTCTTGCCCCACGCTTTCTCCTGGCCGAGAGGAGAGGAGCAGAGAGCAGCAATGCGTACGGCTCTACCCGCTGCCGCTCACTCGGCCCGGCCCGTCCGGCCCGCCCCGGCCCGTCCGGCCCGCGGCTCTCTCCGGCTTTTCTCGGTCCGCATTTTAACCAACAGACGTTTCTCTAAAAGCAAACCAGACAAACATTCCACCAGGTCGTGGCGGAGATGGGGAAAAAAAACACAGAGAAAAAAAAATAACAGCTTTAACTGAACTCACTGTTTCTCTCCGCACTTTGTCACCCGAGTCGATAGTTCGATTTGGTTTGAATGAGTGGCTGTGGAAGTGGTGACTGTCACCCCATCCTCTCACACTGCTGCCACGGGTGGGGCCGGGCCTGAGGGGTTAGAGGGGGTTGGGGGGAGTTAGAGAGGGTCGGAGGGGGTTAGAAGGGGTTGGAGGGGGTTAGAGAGGGTCGGAGGGGGTTGGAGGAGGTTAGAGGGGGTTAGAGGAGGTTGGAGGAGGTTAGAGGGGTTGGAGGAGGTTAGAGGGGTTGGAGGGGGTTAGAGGAGGTTAGAGGGGTTGGAGGGTTAGAGGGGTTGGAGGAGGTTGGGGGGTTGGAGGAGGTTAGAGGGGTTTGGAGGGGGTTAGAGGGGTTGGAGGGGGTTAGAGGGGTTGGAGGAGGTTAGAGGGGTTGGAGGAGGTTAGAGGGGTTGGAGGGGTTAGAGGGGTTGGAGGAAGTTAGAGGGGTTGGAGAGGTTAGAGGGGTTGGAGGAGGTTGGGGGGGTTAGAGGGGTTTGGAGGGGGTTAGAGGGGTTGGAGGGTTAGAGGGGTTGGAGGGGTTAGAGGGGTTGGAGGGGGTTAGAGGGCTTGAGGGGTTGGACGGGTTAGAGGAGGTTGGGGGGTTAGGAGGTTAGAGGGGTTGGAGGAGGTTAGAGGGGTTGAGGGGTTAGAGGGGTTGGACGGGTTAGAGGAGTTGGAGGGGTTAGAGGGGTTGGACGGGTTAGAGGAGTTGGAGGGGTTGAGCGGCGGCCGCGGGGTTCGGGATCAGCTGAGAATGTAACAAACTCGGGAACAGAATGTAGCGAGTGCGGCGCTTCGCGCCTTTATACCTCCCGCCCCCCCCGTGATTGACCGGTGTTTTGGCCAATGAGCCGTCAGCACCGACTCCTTCCTCGCGACTGACAGGAGTCTGAGCCAATCAGCACCGCGGCGGTGAGCAGCCCCGAGCCACGTGGGGCGGCGGCCGCGAAGGGCGGGAGAGGAGCCGCGGACACCGGAGCGGCGCCAACAGCCGCTCAGCGCTGCACACACAGGAAGTGGTTTCTCTGTGGAGAGGAGGAGCTGAGAGGTGTTCAACAGCGTGAGTGTGTGTGTGTGTTTAACAGCCTGTGTGTGTGTGTGTGTGTATGTGTGTAACAGCCTGTGTGTGTGTGTGTGTGTGTGTTTAACAGCCTGTGTGTGTGTGTATGTGTGTAACAGCCTGTGTGTGTGTGTGTGTAACAGCCTGTGTGTGTGTGTGTGTAACAGCCTGTGTGTGTGTGTGTGTGTAACAGCCTGTGTGTGTGTATGTGTGTAACAGCCTGTGTGTGTGTGTGTGTAACAGCCTGTGTGTGTGTGTATGTGTGTAACAGCCTGTGTGTGTGTGTGTGTAACAGCCTGTGTGTGTGTATGTGTGTAACAGCCTGTGTGTGTGTGTGTGTGTTCACTGGTGTCTGTGTGGGTGACATGTTTACCAGCTGTGCCCATGTGTTGGCACAGGGTTCCCAGTACCAGAGCCACACAGTGAGTGGTGAGAATTGGCGACTCTGTGGTGGGACCATGAAATGTGAACGGAAACCTGACGTATACACACAGAGAAGAGGGGAACAGTAACACTCCCATCGTCAGTCGGGACCAGAACATTTAATACGACTTACACAAATTACGTGTTACAAATCGTTTAAATCCCAATGGGACCGATAATCGACACAGAGCATGTGTAATCCAGTCAGTGGGACAGCGACCTTACACGTTACAAAATGATTTGCTTTATAAAACACAAAATAAATTAAGTGTATTTTGGTAGAAAACTGAGTGGGACTCGGTGCGCGTACGAGTTAGATCGGTGTATGATTTATAAAGATAAGAGTTCTGTGAGTTTTACTTCAAAACAATAATAAATTGGTCATTTTCAATCTACGACTGTTTGTGGGACATTGCTGTGCGCAATTGGCTGCCGCGTTCGCCCACAAATATACAGTCAATTCACTTTACAGTGTGTTCTGTGAAGCGCTTTGGGACGTCCTCCTGACGTGAAAAGCACTATATCAAATGCAAGGATTATTATTATTACTGTACCGGAAGTGGACCAAATGGGCTGTTACAATTGGATTGGTTGTACAAAGTATCACATGCAGATCACTATCACAACATTCACTTGATTTCTAATTAAACTCTTTGCTTCGAGACGTTTATTTCACTTGAACAATGTGCTGTGTAAATGTAAGTTATTGCGAACCCAGATCGCTCTTCACACGGTTTATGATTGTGAACATGGTCTTTCCCAGATTTGATTTTCCAGTGAATTAAAAGGCAATGATCACCTGCCTCCTGCTGGGATGACGTCTCCCAGTTACGGCCAATGCTTTGTGATTTACAAGCCTCTTCTGACATTTTTTTCATTGAAAGGATTTTACACTGTTGCTGCTCTGGTACATTTTGAGGTGTTAACAGGACCAGGAGAGACGAGTGTAACACAAATAGATGGCTCAGGAATTTGACTCACAGAAAGCCTGGAGGGTGGCATAGTAATAAAGAAGCTTTACCCCCATAAACTATGTTATAAACCCTAGTTTAGCAAATGACCACTATATTTGCTTTCGGAAGCTGTCTGACAATTGGCTCAGCAGGTTCAATCCCTGACCCAGGTTTGGACTCTGATCTGACCCAGAGGCAGGCACTCCAGGAGACGACTCCACAGGTCACAAACACGATTGGATTCTGTGCAAAGACTCAATCCCTACCCTTGGTGAGTGATTTAGGTAATAATAGCTTTAGCAATTGGTAACATCACTGTCAGCCTGGCTCTGTTGATAACATGATCACCTCTAGATCAGAAGCTTGTGGGTTCAATCCCACATCCGGTTTCGAGCCCACAGTTGATTTTCCAGTGTAGCATTAGGGAAAGAATGCTGGACTGTCGCAGGTGCCGTCCTCCAGCCGAGATATTAAGCAGGGGGTGTTCAGGTGGACATTATGATCCTCAACAACATTCAAAAGGGAAAGGGAGTTTCTCTCAATATCTTGGACTCAATCCTCCAGGTAAATTAGCAATTCGCTGCAATTGAGTCCAACTGAGAGCTTACTGGTGCCAACTGGCTACCCTCTTCGCCTCAAAAAACAGTCAACGCTGGACACTAGATACCCGTGAAGCACTTAGAGACATTTCATTGTGATAAAGCACAATAGAAACATACATTCTATTTATTGCCAACTCCTGTTGGGTTGAGTTCGACAGGGTGAGAATGTCACTAAAGACAAATAGCCCAATGGCCACTTGGACAAGGAGTGATCAATCTATTAGCACCAGCACCTGTACCCACCCAGATCACCCCTCTGGGCCAGAGGGAAGGCAAAGATGATCTATTGCAGTGATGAGCAGTCACCGATGCCGTCTTAGTTTAGGGCTGTATTCACTTCTAGATCGTTCGTGTTTAGTGTTGGAACTGTAGTGGATAGTATGTTCGGTGCTATTTAGAATAGTGAAACCTCATTTCTTCCCATTCCTGAGTGGGTGAAGGGCTTTTGAATCCGACAAATGTGATCTGAGCGGCAGGAGAGAGGCTTGAGGTCCAGACTCGAGCCTCATCTTGGCTGCGTCAACCATCGGAGGCGCTGAGAGAAAACATTTACACAGAAGGGGGTGGGGGGGGTGAAGGATCTGTTGCAATCTAAATGGGTGGAGCAGGCTTGGTGGGCTGAGAGGCCTCTTAGCTTTCCTAGGTAGAACATTCACTGTGTGTGTGTTTCCCTATCGCAGGCTCTTGTGTGTTACTTCCTGCAGGACCCAGTCAGTGCTGTCGTGTTCGGGTTTTATAACCAACAATTCTAACAGATGCTCATGTGAGCAAGAACATGAAAGGGAAGATGTTTTCAAATATTTTTATACATAAACAAAACGTATAACATCAGGGGTTTGTTTTGAGGATTAAAAATTATTTTAATTCCCATATTGATAATAAAAATAATTCCATGAATTCTGTAAACCACTGCATAAATGCTATAGTGTAAAAATCTTAACAAGTGTTAAACAATTTAAACAATAAACTAGAAAGTAAATGATTATGCATTATAAATACCTCCTTAAGAACAATGCCATTCAGATCGCCATTCTACTCAGGACACTCACCTATACCGCATACAACAGGCTTCCATAAATTAATAACAAAGTGAAAAAANCCCATATAATGTTCAATTAAGGTCTTGCTTTGACCATAATTACACAGACAAAAAATTAATATATGAAGACAGTATTTCTGGTAATATTTAAACACTAGTTCAGATATGAGCTATTCCACATGTCAATACAGAAACAAGTCAAGGATATAGTATCTTACTGTCAGAATACACTTTACCAGTAAAGTACATTTACCCTTTTAGCTTCCATGATTTGTTTAAAGATTACATTCCAGGAGTATGCCAACAACAACAACTTGCCCGTGGATAATTTGCTTGTAGATGGTGATTATTAGTTTTCTAAGTAATTATTCATTGGTTTGAGTTGTTGGGACCATGACCTGATTACAAAGCAATGGGGTGGGGAGCGGGCACAAGGATGTGGAAGAGACAGTGAGAGACGCACACTATTTTGACTGGGTAGACTGAACCCTAGATAAATCCCAGTGACTGATGATCAGGAAATTGCAAGGCACCTCCATCCATCTGCTCATTGCTCCACACACTAGAACCAGAGCCTGGCTGGAGAGTTGTTTCTGACCATTACAGGAATCATTTGTGGAAATGGAACCATGATTGAACTCTATGCAGCCAGTTGGGTTTCCAACACAGGAGACAAGCATGGGAATTTCCTACGACTAGCCAATGAATAAGTCATTGCTTTCCATTTTTCTTCCTCCTGTTTTTCCCAAACAGCCAGTCTGAGAGGGAGTCTCAAATTCAGCGTAGAGTTTCACAAAGATGCTTTTACAAACTCTTGTTAGATAATTCCTTACTCTGTAAAATCCTGAGATAATGAGTTCTCCCGCTCCCTGTCATGCCCAGGTTGAAGAACTTGCATATTAAAAATATGATAGCATGTTTGCATTAAAAACAGATTCCCACAAAGAAATATTGCTAATATTTTCAGACAACTCAAAAGAAAGATTTGGATTAGATTTGGCATTTAAAAAAGGGGGAAGTGAGGAATTATACAAGATTGTAATTGGGGCCAGTGCAAAGAGTAAAACCTACCTGGGGATTCTTCTCAAACCTGATCAGGACAGTCGGTTCCAATGAAATCACAAAAGCAGCAAGACTAGGCCAGTGATTCAATGCAACTGGAACATTAAAAGACCTACAATTCTGCACCAAACCTAGAGGGCCCCACTCACAGCCACAGTTGGCGGATATCACCATCGCCCAGTGAAAATAGAGGGCTTTGGGGAAAGAGCTAGAAAATTAATTAATCAAAATGGTGACTGAGCTAGTGAGTGGTGCAGGCAGGATTTTTTAAAATTGAAAATATCTATTTCTTTGGGATGAAAGTAACAAAATGTTTTCCGGTTAGCGCCTAGGCACAACATTTAAATTGTAAAAGCTTAGCTCTGCAATTCTCCGATGAAGCAGGTTGTATTAGGTATTCACTTTCTCTCTCCCTTCCCTCCCTCCTCTGCCCTCCACCCCATAATAATAATAATAATCCTTGCATTTGATACAGCGCTTTTCACGTCGGGAGGACGTCCCAAAGCGCTTCACACAACACACTGTAAAGTGAATTGACTGTATATTTGTGGGCGAATACGGCAGCCAATTGCACACAGCAATGTCCCACAAACAGTCGTAGATTGAAAATGACCAATTTATTATTGTTTTTGGCTTTGGAGGGATTATTATTAGGCTCTGTGTGGAGTAAGGAAACTTGCTCAAGGTTTCGCCCTCTGCCTGGAATTGAACTCGGGTCTCTCACTTGCAAAGCGAGTGCTCTAACCACTGAGCTACAGGACTCACGCTTCTTCTTCCCATAGAGGGAAGAATAAGTTAAAGCACCAGTGGCTATAACCAGCAGCACAGCACTCCTCACTATGTCCTACTGCTATGCAGAGAAAGCGCTTGAGACATCTTCCTGACGTTAAATCTGCTGCATCGAACGTACAGATTATTTAATATTTTTTTAAAAAAAGGGAACTGTTGTGGGTGGGAACACCTAATGGGAACAATTTGAACACAAACACAGCCATGGACTCCACAGAGAACAGAAATTCCACATGGAACCCTGCAAGATCAAGCACCTGGTCATAATAAAATATTTAATGGTGGAAAATTCTTAAATTCAGTCTCAATTTGGAAGCGGAGATCTGGGATTCACTTCAACCTGTGGCAACAGCACATTACAAGCTCTTCACTGTGGGATTCCTTCAACTCATTCGCTACCACACGCAACCTCTGCACCCCATTGATGAACCATTAATGATTCCAGAGAATAGCCGGCCACCCAGACTGTATCTATACAACAGTCCTATGTTACAATCTCACCAAGAACCAAGGCCTCAGCAAGAACACGTGCTGTTAATATAAGTGTAAGATTATGTGGTGTTGCTGTAAAGATGTTGATGGATTTTCCTGCGACTACTGCTCATGATTATTTTGGAATCGGCATTTGGCATTCAAGGATTTAAGTCTTTTATTTAAGGCAGTTTTGGCACTTTGTGATTTTATTTAAAATGCTGTGTATTTATCTTATGCTTGCTTAATGTCACATTGTGCTGATTGATTCCTTGCACAAATTATACCTTTGCAATTTACAGCAGTTTTGATTTAATTTACCATGAGGCCCAGCCCTGCATCGGGCAGTGCAGGGGAAAGGGAGAAACCGTGTGCCTCCAGGAAGTCATGTTCACATCAGTCTGTGTCTAGATATGGGGTGGGGGATGGGAGAAAGAGAGATAACAGCACGCAGAAGGTATCCTGTAATGAACTGTTTGCCCGCTCTGTGAATGAACAAGCCAACACCAGGTTACACCGCAGTTATTGTGGGGAGGAAGAGAAGTGGGAATAATTAAACCATGACAGTACTTCACACTCACTGAGAGGACCTGAGTCCTACGGGCAAAGGGAGGAATGAATAGAAACCTAGTTTACAATCTGAGTGTAAAGCTGTAATTATTTACTACAAAATCTTAATTGCTTCCTCTCCCTCCAGTATCTCCTCTCCCTTCATTTCCATGATGTACACTGGGAAATTAATCCCAGCCACTACTTGGCAGGGAGGGAGGGGGAGAAATTATTCAGGCATCTGCTTCTACACTACCAGAAAGCAACGTTGCTGCCATTCCCTTTCCTACAACAGTGTAGAATGTGAGGGGGAAGAAATGACAGAGGAAATGCTTGTGGTAACCAAGGAGCACTCTCTCACATGCTGCCCACAGTAGTGCAGAGGCTAACATGTAAAAGGCTTTACCATTAATACTCGCCATCGTCACACACCACAAAAATAAAAACTACATAAACACTAAGCATTGATGCATATGTGGCCACTATCATTTTCCTTTTTAAAAAAGACAAGCAAAGTTCACCGCACAATAATCTCAAACAAATGTAAGTAAACTTTTTAAAATCGGACTGTTTTTATGTAAAGTTTTGTCTTTTTTCAGTACTTTTAAAACTTCATACATTCCGTATTCTTGTCAAAAATGCATCAGTCTATGATCAAAGAGCATTTCATGTAAATAAGGTTTGTTTTTTATACAAAAAAGTGGAATATTGGTTTCATTACCCAGAACACAATACAGAATTAAAATTCTAATTTTGGTCACTGTTTCACTGTTTCAGCAATTCTGCCCAACGAGCTATGGTTTTATAGTCCTATATTTACACATCTTGTTAAAACTACCAGATATCACTAGACAGAAGAGATCTTTGGCAAAGACTACACGTGGCCAGAAGTCCATTCTAACTCTTTAGCAAAATGCAGAGCACATTTCTGTGTGTGAGAGAGAGAGAATACACTACGATCAGCCATTGTGCAACAGCTTATCTTCGAGGCTGTTACATAGATGGACAGAAATGCCCTGTAACTCCATGGTCATGGAGCAGGTCACGGCAGACATTGCCACGATGGTCCCAGTCGGTTGCTCACAGGGCTCTGGCCTCACACTGATTTGGGGGATTCTGAACTGAACACGTTTACGAGGTCTCGGTTTCAGGTAATACTATTTACTGCTGAATGGGGAGGAAGGCAGTTCAGATCAGATTTGGAGGCCACGACGGGCAAATACAAATCCAGAAATGAACCAAATTGTGGCAATTTAAAAAATATATAAATCAATTCTTTTTATGGGCAAGCTGAGAACCTCCTAAGTCTAAATGCACGTTCAGAACTAAATTTATTATACTATTTTGAAGAATCCAGTTTTGTTCCCTTCCAATGTTTTGGATCCCTGTTAAGAGAACATGATGGTTTTAGTGCACCAGTGTCAGCGTGTTTGCTGCAGACTCAGGTCAATGTTCTGCACCTCAACATTAATATGTAGATGATATTGCAGCCATTACTGGGTCCAGGTTACAGACTATGTACTCACGTCCCAATGCCAAAACCTCAGGAAGCCACTAACATGTGGATGTGTGTGGCATTCGGTTAAAGGCTGAAACTACATGTTCTGTCAAAGTTAATACTAAAACGGTACTTTACAATCCCAGAAGCCAGTGCAGAACTCCACACAAATCAATCACAACTTTTCATTTTTGCTTATTGTATATATTTTAAAATAAGCTACTGTACTTCCCTGACCAGGGAGCACATCTCTTCACTAATGTGCCACACTTTGATGGTAATATTAAAATGGACTTCTGATACAGAATGATAAAAGACAAATAATTGTTTGTTTAACACAGTAAATAGGTCAACGTTTCATTCTTAGTTGATAGCCTGTACACATTACCTGCCTAGTCAGCAGAGACCAGGTAATCAAGACCATTGATCCGTTGCCCTCTGGGTAAATGGATATTTGAAATCAGTCAATAATCAAGTATCAATTTTAATCACTTATGCTCAATGCAAGTTCATCCTGAAAAGGTTATGCTCCCACCCCTTTTACAGTTAGAGAAAGCTGGTCTACACATCTGCATTAATTATATCCTTGTATATAATTAGTGCAAAGTACCTTTGCCTGACTTCAGATGCCAGTCCTTGAAAGTTTAGGCTTAGGCAAGGCAGAAGGCACTTGGTAACAGTGGCCAGAAATTAGAGGTCGTCATTTTAAATGTATACAAGGCTAGAGTCGCACCAACAACAATGAGAACAAAAAAAATCATTAGAAACTTTCATGATACTAGCTACCAAATCTCCATCACATGCTGGTCAACACAGCTCAGGTTTGTGGAGAGAGAGAGAGAGAGAACACAAGACTGGTTCCTTTTATTATATAAAATAGCAAAGTTATCTTCAGACTACTAGTTTACTCAGATTACCATATGTGCCTTTATGAAATTGCTGCTGGTTATGCTTTGAAGCATTAAAAGTTTGCACTTAATTTATAAATTGAAAAATGTAAAAATCCTAGCAAGTTACACAATACTAATATTTATAATTGTACTAATTAGAATAGGAAATCTAACAATATTCACTGTACTATGATTTAACAGTAAGAATCTGAATACCAAATATCTCTCAACACTTTTCACAGTACACATACAAAGCTTTATATTATCACGTTCTGAAAAAAAAACTACAAAGCAGCCTGAAAGCAATTTATTATAACCTCTAAACAAAAAAAAACCCAGGTTAACAAAGTGCGTTACAGGAAATTAAACCTCTTCACATAACCTAGTTCCTTTTTTTTGCTTTTAATACGTAAAACACTAGAACATAAAATTGCTATATAAAGTTGCAGTGCTCTGCAGGCAAAGTTGGTTGCAACCACACGGCCAATTGATCTTGGAGGCAAGGTCAGGATTAGCAAAGCCTCGATCTGTCTCGAGTTTACTGGGGGGGGGGGGGAACAGCGGGGCGGGGGGCATTCCTTTTTTAATGCACGTCGCAAGGACTCATTTGTAAACACAGGACAACCGGGCAAAATGACAATGATGTACTGATATCATTATGGACCCAAAAAAAACCTCAATCAGTCACCTAACATTGCCTGGCTGAGTGACTGAGCGAGTTGCTTTTCTGGGTTTATAGACTTAGGATCAACAGAAAAAGTAAAAGCTTTTTTTTTAAAAAAACACTCACCAATTTAATTGGAGAGGAAGTAGAGGCCTGACCATTGCGCTTTCAAGCATAGGATCTACTTGGCGTGTGATTATGAAGCATTCTGACATGCAGGGACTGCAGCTTTCATTGTTAGGATAGTGTAGTCGTTCTTCAAAAGGCTAGATTCCATGTACCTAGAATATATTCATCACCAATTCATGACTTTAGTTTTGCAATAGGGACATTCAATGTTGTTAGGTGCACAGTGCTCACAGAGGACATAATGCTGGCAAGGCTGAAGGAGTATGGAACGGTCCCGCTCTTGGCAAACTATGCATTTCTTCGACTGGAGCTGATAAATTACCTGTGTGAGAGGAACAAGAACAAACATAGCACATGAACCATTGCGGAAAAATACAGTCCCTTCCCTTGGCAGGCTAACAGTTTAGGTACACAGAATACTCTTGCCCCTTACAGACACCCACCTCCTCTCCAATACCCCCCACCCCCACTGCCCTCCACCACCATTGCAGAGAGAACTAGTTCCTCACTCTTGCTTTTTTCCACCTCATCTGATGCTTCTCTGATAACACGCCAGGCCTCCACTAGCCACTGTTCATTTATTCAATTTTTTTAAAAAAAATCTGAAAGTAGGTTTGTACGTGTGTACCTACCTCACACAGCCAGCCTGCTGCATTAACACTGACATCTACACTACATGTGGGAGGGAGGGGGAAAGAACAGGGGAGAAATCACATTATTTTTGTGTTTTTTCCAGAGAAAGAAGAGAGGAACAAAGATAAAACTCACCCCATCTACAAGGTCCAGATCTGCACGCAATTGACTTTGTATAGAATGAAGCTTTGGTAAAGGAAGCTTGTCTATATCCCCAAAGTTTCTTAAAAGGGGAAAATTTGGATTTCGATATAAAGCATCAAAGTCCTCCTGCTGCTTTTTCAGCTGTTTCTCCACCTCCTCCTTCTGCTGTGATACTAACAACCGGTCACCATCCGCAGCTTTTGCCCTCTCTTTGGCTTCCTGGGCTTCCTTCTGCCACGCATCACACGCCTGGAACACAAGTACTCACATGGTCAGAACAGCCCCCAGGCCAGTCCCCAGCCTCCAGGCCAGCCTGGCCCCCACATGAAAATTATTCATTCACAGAAAAGAGTGGATAAGTCTGTGTGATTACAATAATAGTAATGCTTGCAATTGATATAGTGCCTTATCATGTCATTGAGAGATGTCAAAGCACTTCACAGGATCATAGAATAATAATAAATCTTACATATGATATAATATTAATGTATTATCCTTACCATGTCTTCGAGATGTCTCAAAGCATGTCACCGAATATAATAATAATAATCATTGCATTTGATATAGCGCTTCTCACGTCGGGAGGACGTCCCAAAGCGCTTCACAGAACACACTGTAAAGTGAATTGACTGTATATATTGTGGGCAAAACTCGGCAGCCAATTGCACACAGTAGTGTCCCTCAAACAGTCGTGGATCGAAGTGACCAATTTTTTTTAAAAGGAATTATTATCCGCAGAAAAGCCATCTGTCAATCGACTAACAACCGGGTTCCTACTTACTGCTGGGTAAACAGAGGTGTGTGGAGTAAGGAAACTTGCCCAACATTTCAGCCTGACCAAGCATAAGACCATAAAACTATAAGACGTAGGAGCAAGAGTACGCCATTCGGCCCCTCAAGCCTGTCCCACCATTTAATAAGATTGTGGCTGATCTTCTAACCTAAGTCCATTTACCCGCCCTATCCCCATATCCCTTAATCCCTGTATCCTTTAATAATAATAATAGAACCCAGGTCTCTCGCTGTGTGGCAAGTGCTCTAACCAGTGAGCTACAAGACTCCACAAATCATAGAATATTACAGAAGGAGGCTATTCGACCCATTGTGCCTTTGTCGACCGGCTCTTTGGAAGGACTGCCCAATCAGTCCCACGCTCCCGCTCTTTCCCCATACCCCTGCAATTTTTTCCTTTTCAAATAACTATCTAATTCCATTTTGAAAGTTGTTATTGGATCTGTTTCTACCAGCCTTTCAGGCAATGAATTCCAGACCATAACAACTCTGTGTAAAATAATTCTCCTCATCTCCCCTCTGGTTCTTTTGCCAATTATCTTAAATCTATGTGCCCTGGTTACTGACCCACTGGCCAGTGGAAACAGTTTCTCCCTATCTACTCATCAAAACCGCTCATAATTTTGAACACCTCTATTAACTCTCTAAGAACAATCCCAGCTTCGCCCTCCACATAACTAAAGTCCCTCATCACTGGCACCATTCTGGTAAATCTCCTCTGCACCCTCTTCAAGGCCTTGATGTCCTTCCTAAAGTGTTGTGCCCAGAATTGGAATCAATACTCCAGCTGAGGCCTAACCAGTGACTTATAAAGGTTTAGCAGAACTTCCTCACTTTTGTACTCTAAGCCTCTATTTATAAAGTCAAATATCCCATATATATGTATATATCCTCTGTATATATCGCATACATATGAGAAAAAAAAGGAAACGTGGGCCTGTAGATTTCAGCGAGGTTTTGATTTGCAGTTTGTTGCACCCAGATTCTCTGCAGGCTTATTGACGGAGTGGGTGAAAGGAAAAGTTTCACTATACAGTTTATTGCTCCTCCTTCAAATGTAAACAATGAATGTGTTTAGAAATATCGCAATTCTGACCCCATCGTTACTAAAATAGATTACATTAGGAATAATGATCAGAGGTTGGAAGGTTCGACTCAATAATGCCTCCTGCTCTTTGGTCCATTCCACCTCCATGTTAACTTGGTGCACAAAAACAGCAACCATTCATACAACGCCCCTCACACAGAGCACCAACCTGCTTCACTTGCTGCCAGGAGTCTTCCCACTGCTTAATCTTCCGTTTGGCCTCCTCCAGCTCCCTCCGCACTCTGCTCAGCTCGTTGCTGCTGGAGCCGCTGTTGGCGTTGGTGTTGCTGCTGCTGAACACGGGGGAGGGGGTGGGCGAAAAGTTCCCGCTCACAAAGTGATCCCAGATGCTGCCGCTGACACCGTTTAAACCTGAGGAATAGGGAGGACCTGGGGATTACACCAGTGCTGGGTTCAGTGAAGGACAGCGTCAGCCTGACGGAAGGCTGGAGGCAGCGGTCTGTGTCACTGACAAGGAAATTCGGTCCCAAAAAGAATCAGAAAGGGGGTGGGCGGGGCTTTGCTCCGTGTTTCTGTCTTGCCTATCCTCCCTTTGCCCGCATTAGCTTGCAGTCCCCTGGCCACACTGACTGTCAGGAACTGGAGCAAAATCTGGGCTGATGAAATGTAGATGTTGCATGAGGGAGACACTCATTATCAGCGATTAAATTAATAATAATCTTTGCATTTGTTATAGCGCTTTTTCGCGTCTTCTCGACGTCTCAAAGCGCTACACAGAATAGACTGTAAAGTGAATTGACTGTATATTTGTGGGAGAAACGCGGCAGCCAATTGCTCACAGCGGTGCTAAATTATCGATTTATTTTTAAAAGGGGATTATTACCTGCGGAAAAGTGATTGGCCAATCGACTAAAAATCAGGTTCCTACTTACTGCTACGTAAACAAAGGCGTGTGAAGTAAGGAAACTTGCCCAACTTTTCGCCCTGCCTGGAATCAAACTCAAGTCCTCTCGCTTGCAAGGCGAGTGCCCTAACCACTGAGCTACAGGATTCCACGTTACCGTTAAATATACAAGACGCAGCTTGTAAAACGGGGAAATTCCACGATTACCCAAATCTGAGAAACAAAAGCAAACAGACACAGACCAACTTTCCTCAAGTTGAGGCTGAATGTAAGAAGGGAATAAATTTCACATCGATTTTCTCATTAGAATCAGGATATTGAGATACAAGGGAGTTCCGTGAGCTATAATAGTGCGGAAACTTGAACTCAACCGCTTTAATCTTTAAATAATTTGCAGGTTCTTAAACAAGTCAAAATGTGCAGTAACTCACCTAAGGAGCTGTGGGAGGAGGCCGAGGTGCCCAGAAGTGTGTGGTCAGACTTTGAGGATTGCTGTGATGGCTGCTGTGGGGCCATGCTGGACGACAGGAAGGACTGGGAGAGGGAGCCGAGTGGAGAGGCCGACAGGGAGGAGGAAGAGTGTAAGGAGGAGGACCGAGCGAGTGATCCCGGAATATTCACAGGAGCCGAGCTGCCTAATAGCCTCTGACCTGTGATAGAAATAATAATAATCCTTGGATTTGATATAGCGCTTTAACACATCTTCAACTCATCTCAAAGCGCTTCACAGAATATCCTGTGAAATGAATTGACTGTGTAATCTTTGGGCATAAGCTATTAGACCAGGCATGCCAGCCTGATCAGCCATACATCCCAAAGGTTATTACAGGCAAGCAGGGCAGCCCAGCAATTCCAAGTATTCAAAGAAAGAATTTACATTTTTATAGCACCCCGTCACATTAAAACACCTCAAATTGCTTTACACTAATTAATATCACATTTAACAATTGTTTTTGAAGGAAAACAAGGTGGATATTCTGTCCCATGAACAGTCATGAGATGAATGAATGACCTAGTTATCTGGAGCACAGTCGTACAGGCAGGAACTTTGGAAATGCTGTGGGATCTTTAACGTCCGCCAGTTTTAGGGACAATGATTTGCAGTTCTGCTTTGCAGAAACACTCTCCCCGTCTGGCCCTCAGTCACAGAGCGATACTAGTGATCAGTGGGGGAGAGAGAGGCATAACAGGGGAGTAATCAAAAGTCTGCCCTCATGCAGGGAGCGATCCACAAAAGACAAAAATAGATGGTAAAAAAAAACACACGGAAAGGAATATACGAGAGGACTATGCAGATAAACGAAGGAACCTGGGATTTTAATGATGGGAAACCGTAAAATAAGTCAATTGCAGCATTAACAATAATACCTACAGTTGGCTGAAGCGCTCGGAGATGCTACGCTGCGTGGAAAGTGCTATATAAGTGCAAGTTGTTGTTTAGGGTCTTTCACATCAGATAGATGTCTGAGACATTTACTGTAAAGTGGAGTCACTGAGTTTTGTGGGCGACTGCTACACTAGTGATTCAGATTTTAAAAGTCACTGGAGGGCCACCATTGGTGATCGGACCTTCAGCCTCTCGGCCCCCACCCTTTGGAACTCACAACCCATAGTCCCTTCACCTAGCTCCCTCAAGGCACATCTCAAGACCCTCCTCTTCAACCGCGCCTTCAGTCACCCACCTACCCCAACCCTCCACCCCTCCTGATCCCTACTCCCAGCTCGGGTCCAAATCCCTGACTGTCCAGTGCCTTGGGACATCCTCCTGACGTGCTATGTAAATGTACTTTGTTGTGGTTGTAAAACAAACCACTCTTCACAGAACATGTTAATGCTGCTCATATAAAGAGCTGTTACACTCACCTTTTAATCCTATGTCACTGTTATCTTGATCCTCTAATTCTTTATCAAGAGAGGCAACGTTTACATCACTAAAATGCAAATCTAAAGCAGAACCTGGGTGGGTGGTGGGTGGGGGGGGGGGGAAAGAAGAGAAAAATAATCATCATTATTTCAGGTTCAATCAAAGGAAATTATCCAGAGTTTCCAATACCAACATCGCAAACCAGGAGTTAAAAATTTACACGATATACCTGATCTGTGAAAATCGCCACCCAATATTTACTCACCAGGTGCCTCAGTGCAGTACACTGTTCCTGATTTAACTCAAGTTTCTCAACATATAACCAGCCACCAAACAAACACCACTAAAACCTCAATAAGGTTTGAGTTGATGTCTTGCACAGATTTTATGGCTCGAGGGGAAAAAAAAGTCTGCTAATGAATTAGGACATTCACTAACTCCGGTCCCACCCATCCTAACACCCTGCTCACCCTGGGCTGGCTGTTTCTGTTGTCAGTTTGCTTGTAACCTGGCTCCACACTCTGGGAGTCAACACTGTTATAGCAAAGGTTGTCAAGAGGACACAGCTGGTAGTGACAATAACTCACCAGCAGCTGTTCTCACACAAAGGCAACATCTCCCCAAAGCCAATTACACAACCAAAGGGCAGGCACCAAAGGGCCCTATTATTTTATCCTTTTCTTTTTATTACCAAAAGCATTCGATCAAGCCTGAAAACAGAAGTGACCAAACCAGTATCACAGGATCAGCAAGTTTAAAGGTGTTTAAACCAACATCTTTACATTGGAAATGTAACTTACTGTCGATATTTCTACCGAAGACATAGTCACACAATACATCAACTTGCAGAATAAATGATTAATGAGCAATTATGAGCCATATACATTTGTGAAAATAAAATTCTAGAAACCATGACTGATATTTCTGGGACGAACAAATGAACGAGTCACTGGAAGCATGAAACCTTTCCCTCTCTCTGATCCTCACTTTTGTGTTCAAATCCACTTACTCCCTGGCACCTTCCTACCTCTCTGACCTCCTCACTCCCCCAATCCACCACCCGGCGCCTCCGCTCGACTAACCCCGGCCTCTTACTCGTCCCTCGCACCCTCCGCCCCACCATCGGAGATCGTGCTTTCAGCCACTACGCCCCCAAACTCTGGAATGCTCTCCCTCAATCCCTCTGTCTTGCCCCCTCTCTCAAGTCCCGCCTGAAAACTTTCTTTTTCCACCGTGCTTATGGCCACCTCCCCCTTCCCCCCCAGCTTGGAGTCAGGCTCCGCCACTGTTAAGCGCTCTGAGACACTGCCCCGCCTGGAGGGCGCTATATAAATGCAAGTTGTTGTTGTTCTGCTATGAATCTGCATGTTTCAGGCTTATTCCATATATACTTTCCCTGCCATTATTACACACTTTCCCACTGGATCCCTAAGACCACAATTTTTTTAAAAAAGTGAAGGCATTATCTAGGGGCATTAAACAGCTTTCTCTATCTGTCTAACACATAAATTGCTGCGAGCAATCGTGCAAAAATACAAGCCGATTCTTTCTCGATCAAGGAGGCATCAATGCTTGGGTCTGCTGACAATCCTTCTCGTTATATCAAAAAAGCTGGTCATTCTTCCTTCCCACACGAGTTTGCTGCCTTACCTTATAGCTATGGTTCAAGCCACCGGCACCAGCAGTTAGAGAGAATGCACGTCAGCCCTGACACAGCAAGAAGTTAGCAATTCTCAGGGTAAGGAGCTCACCTTCAGTGTGCCATTCAACACTCAAACTACTGCACTGCACAGTACTGGCCTTCAGTTTGCTGAGTCACTCACTGCTGCAGACTTGCTCCCTCTCTCCACACCCTCTTTCTATAGAATAGGACCCCCTCCCTCCACACCCACCCACCCAGCCAGCCTGACTGACTAATCGGAGCTATTTACATGACGTGCCCCCAGCAGCCTGACACACTACACTGCCGGCATCACACACACTGGGCAGTGCTGGCTGGTACTACTTGCTCAGCTGTATTTAACAATGCGAGTGTCGGCTCCTCCCTCCCCAGGACCAGACATGCTCAACACAGCACAGACACTGGGCGGTGGCGTGAGGAGAGAGAGAGAGAGAGCGAGCTCCCGGTATCTGGACGGGCAAAAGGCAAACGTGGAGACCATTAACCTCTCCGGGATCCAGACAAAATATTATTATTGAGATAAAATGGACAACTGGCAGCTCAGGGCGAGGCCGCACACGCAAGAGGAAATGGCAAAGCTTCAACATTTTCACTGTGTGAATCTGACGTGTGCAAAAGACACCAAACACTGGGGCGTTCAGGTAAGGATTATACAACTTGCAGCCACAGACCCCGCTAATCAGCAATGGCAGGTCAGAGTAGGAAAGATCTACACTGTATGAATCGGCATTACTGTGTGTGCGCATTGCTTTGTGTGAGACAAGTGTGGGGTGTGTGTGAGAGAGAGACTGTACAAGATTGCTGTGTTGTTGAATCAGTATTAGTGTGAGAGAGAGAGACCACTGCTGTGTTACTTATACACAAAGATGCTCCACTAGCTTCGTTTTAAAAACAAAGAGAAGGCTTCCTTCCTTCCGCTCCACAAAATGCACCCTAGTCTGAAAGTGGTTTTGTTCTTCCGTATGGCCCCACAAAGCTTTCATCTCAGCAGATCCCTCTCCACTGAAACCAAGCAAAAGCGACACAAAGCACACCCATCAGCTCCGACCGAACACACACACAGCCCAGCCTGACACACACACACAGCCCAGCCTGACACACACCACACACAGCCCAGCCTGACACACACACACACACACAGCCCTGACACACACACACACACAGCCCTGACACACACACACACACACACAGCCCAGCCTGACACACACACACACACACACAGCCCTGACACACACACACACACACACACAGCCCAGCCTGACACACACACACACACACACAGCCCAGCCTGACACACACACACACACACACACAGCCCTGACACACACACACACACACACACAGCCCAGCCTGACACACACACACACACACACACACACAGCCCAGCCTGACACACACACACACACACACACACAGCCCTGACACACACACACACACACACACAGCCCAGCCTGACACACACACACACACACACACACACAGCCCAGCCTGACACACACACACACACACACACAGCCCAGCCTGACACACACACACACACAGCCCAGCCTGACACACACACACACACACACACACAGCCCAGCCTGACACACACACACACACACACACACACACAGCCCAGCCTGACACACACACACACACACACACACAGCCCAGCCTGACACACACACACACACACACACACAGCCCAGCCTGACACACACACACACACACACACACACAGCCCAGCCTGACACACACACACACACACACACACAGCCCAGCCTGACACACACACACACACACACACAGCCCAGCCTGACACACACACACAGCCCAGCCTGACACACACACACACACAGCCCAGCCTGACACACACACAGCCCAGCCTGACACACACACACACACAGCCCAGCCTGACACACACACACACACACAGCCCAGCCTGACACACACACACACACAGCCCAGCCTGACACACACACACACACAGCCCAGCCTGACACACACACACACAGCCCAGCCTGACACACACACACACAGCCCAGCCTGACACACACACACACAGCCCAGCCTGACACACACACACACAGCCCAGCCTGACACACACACACAGCCCAGCCTGACACACACACACAGCCCAGCCTGACACACACACAGCCCAGCCTGACACACACACAGCCCAGCCTGACACACACACAGCCCAGCCTGACACACACACGGGGTCTGGCCTGTGCGCCGTGATCTGTGCTGATCTCCAGTCTGTTTCCTTCCCATCTGCTGTAGAGGGCGAGCGAGCAGCAGCCAGCTTTACAGCAGTTAGCTTATTCATTTTTGTTTAAGTTGTTAAGATAGTAGTAAATACACACCCCGTGTGGGTGTGTTTGGGTGTGTTTGGGGGGGTAGAATTTACCCAAGAACATAAACAGCAGGAGGTTGATTTTTGACATTGATTGCTTCTTGACACCGGAGCTAGCAAAGCAGCCCCCTTCCCCCCACCCCGCCAGGTCTGTGCTTCGGGTCTGCCTCAGCTCCTGTTTGAGCCTTTTTAAGCCCAGGTGATGGTCACTATTGTATATGTATTGATGTGATTTTCTTTGGTTTTCTTCCTGCACATTACAATTTACTACACTCGTATACACACCAAAATAATTGAATCCACTGTGATGCTGTGTTAATACCCAGCATGACAATGATCCATTCATTACACACCCAACAATCCATTCATATAATTATACAGTACAGGAGGCAGTGGGATTGCTTTGAAAGCCTGTACGTACTCAATGGATTGAACAGCCTCCTTCCCTGTAAACATGTGCAATTATGACTGTTGGAGCAGCCGGAGGAGATTTACTGCAACACTGCAGGTAATGCAGTTTCTGGCAAATGTACCTAACAAAAACACTTTCCATCTCCTGGGAATGCTGGACAAATGCAAAAAAACAGCAGCAAATCCACACGGGCCTCAAAAGGAGAGAAAAACACCCACCTATAGACATTTACGCAGTCATCCAACCAACATCTACCTCATTAACACACAATCTGCTACAACGCTGTCAACAAGTCAATTATTTCACAAGGGGATGAAGAAATGAAAAGTACTCCAGCTTTCTCTCGCCCCCGCGCGATATTTACTCACCATCCACACCTGCACTCTTACACTAGTATATAAAAACAGAAATTTAGAAGCACAGAAGGCAGCCATTGTGTCTGTGCAGGTTCTGTTAAAGAGCGATCCTTTCAGTCCCATTTACTTGTCTTACTCTGTACCCAATGAATGCTAATGAAACCATAACACGTACAGAGACAACTAACCACATCCCCAAATGCAGTCCTTCCCAGCGTAATAAAGGCTGCCTCTGACTGGTTCCTCACAGCAGGAACATAGGACTTTTATTGGCACAAGAAACCTCTACAGCAATATACAGACATGTTGAAGCTTTACTGGCTGCGATTCAAAGCACCATATTTTGTATAGTTTTTAACTGCAGGAGATGAGCTGCTCTCACCTCCACTGTAGAAATAGACACACAATAAACCCAAGAAAGATCATCAACGCCCACACCTTCAGAGGAGGATTTGATGCAAGTAGTTTTACGATTCCACCTTTGTCAGCCAGTTAGTAATGAATGGCAATCATTCATACAAATCATTTCAAAAACATTTCAGTGTCAAATTGTCCTCAAATTCAATATAGTCATTCAGTGCAATTCAGACTTACCAATTACTGATTCTACTGTATTGCTAGCGGGGTAAAACGGAACTGCTTTGGCATTCATTGTTGACAAGGTGGAGGGGGATGAAGTGTCTGATCCAATACTAGATGCCAGACTAGACGTTATACTGGAGGTCAGTGGGTTCACCACTGAAAACACACTTAAAAGATTCTGCGAGTGGGTAGAAGGGATCTGATTAGAACAAAGGTAGGAATACACACACCAACATTACAATTGTAACAGGTTTAAGGAAACGTTCATTTACTGTGCACCATAACAATCAGTGACACCCTCTTTTAGGCTGAGTTGAAATCACTCAATAACCAGGTTCGCTCTCAAAGACAGTTTTTCACTGAAATGCTAGTTTACACTTTTCTTTCTGTCCATTAATCGGGATCGGTCGTGTATTTCATGAATATCTAATTGATGGGAATGAATATCTAATTGATGGGCATGACTGTTCACGATTGAGTTGTGGGGGGGGGGGGGTGGTGCTGAAATCATCAGCATTCCCAGAGGCAGAGAGAGACAATCAAAGCTCCCCAAATTCACAGCAAGTCAACATGCCCTCTCAGCTGGCCAAATAGTGCAAGGGAACACATTTGGGGGGAGAGGGGGTGGGAGAGGAGGAGGAGGAAAAAGAAAGTCATAGGGTGGACGGGAATTTTTATTTTTTTTAAAAAAAATTAAAATCAGAATCTTAGCTTACAGGAATCTCCGGAAAAGCTTCAGGTTGAACTATATTGTGTTACAGACTGGAACAGGGTTTTTCTTTAATAGATGTGTTTGTGGTGAAATCTTCACACCCAACAGAGTTCCCAGGTTAAATCCCTCGATTGCTGCAATAATAGTTCTTGCAATTTGATACAGAGGTTTCTCAAAACGTCTCAAATGTGGCAGCTCATGTTCACCAGTAACGTCCCTCATACAATGAGTTGAATGACCAATACATTTTTTGTTTTTGCTTGGGGGGGGGGGGTTCTTAAAAATGGAATGGTGACTGGGACACTGGAAAAACTCCACACTTTTCTTCAAAATAGTGCTTCAGGTCCACCTGAATAAGAAGAAAAGGACGGGACCTCTGGGTTAATATCTCATCTGAAGTATGGCACCTGGGACAATGCAGCAGAGCTCCCTCAGTAGTGCGCTGGAGCATCAGCCTAGCGCACCCAACCTTCTGACCCAGGAGAGAAAAACAGTTGAAGTAACTGGGCCAAATCACAATGACTTCTTTGTTCTCCTTTGTCTGCCACCCCCAACCCTCTTCTCTCCTCAGTGTGGTGACTGAGGGGCAGATATTCATAGACCACTACAGCACCGAAACAGGTCACTTGGACCATCAAGTCTGCACTTGTGGCTTTCCTCCCCACCTGGCCTCACAGCCCCTGGCAATTCACCCAAGACAGTGGACCAGTGGTCAAACTATTCCCCACAATAAAGGTGAAATGCAGTCTTACACTGACCTGTTTCCCATCTTGTTCATTTAATTTCTGGTTATTCTCTAGTGTTTGGTTCTTTTGTTGCTTTGCCTGGAAGTAATCAGACAGCTGTAAGAACCTAGGTTTTCATCAAAGTCTCCCACCCACACAATCACATTTATCTTTCCCAGGACTCAACATTTAATGGTTTGCTTCAAAAGTGGGGTGATGGCACAGGGAAACAGAAGAATATCTGTGTTATATTCAGAGGGACAATTTGGAGCTAAGGACAATTAGTTCCTTCAGTCAATAGCTTCCCAATCCCCCTGGCACATCTTCCCCTCCTCCCTTCCTAGTCCAGGGACAGTGAGGCCAATTGGAATCCCTATCATCCCCTTGACTGAGACTGGCGAAATCACTGCAGACCAGGGATTGAGCACTGCACTAGGTTAGGAGCTCCAGAGCCCATTACACCAGGAGTAAAAGAGGAACATAGGGGTGGTGCCTGAAAGAGCAGTGCGGTGGGGTGGGGGGGCGGCGTCATCACAGTCAGTCAGGGTATTCTTTAAAGAAATTAAATCTAGAGCCAAATCTAATATTTTCAGAAAGGCTTTGTGTGGGGTTTACCTGATCTTCCCGTTCAAACCCTGGTGCTTTGGGATATGTTGATGTTGGTGAGGAGACACTGGACGTCGCTGGATCTGAACATAAACTACCATTAGTGAAAGATTTGAGCCGACTTATTCGTCCAATGGGAGACAATGAACTGTTACTACCTGAACTGGATGTAACCGTTGGGCTGCTGGAGGATGAAACCTGGAAGAAAAAAAAACAGGATCAGAGGTGGGAGTCACAGGTTTTCGCAGTTTAATAAGCTGACAGCCCCTGGCTGCTAACTGCAAGTGTCATATTGAAAGCTGGGAGTGGCAGCAGCGTTTGTGTTGTAGGGTCACAATCACTGGCGATCACTATACCAGTCAATGCTGTACCGTGATGAGAGCCAAAAGGTTTTAGGAAAGTTCCGACAATCACACATGCTGGAAGGCTTTTCACTGAACTGTTATAACATTGAAACACCAACAAATTTTTCGTTGGTCTCAATCAGGGAAATGGTGAATTAAAATAACCTGGTCTAATTCCTGATCTACGTTAAATTTGCTGATCTCCAGGGCAGGGCAATGGTTGAGGCTATATTTGGCCTTAGCATCCCAAGCTGAAGGAGAGGAAACCAATCAGCCACAACACCTGATTAGTATCCATTATACAGAAAAATGATAAGTCGGTCACCGGAAAATACTGTAAAGTGAATTGACTGTATATTTTGTGGGCAAAATACGGCAGCCAACTGCGCACAGCAGTGTCCCACAAGCAGTTGTGGATTGAGTGACCAATTTAGTATTATTTTTTGAAGGAATTATTACCCCGGAAAAGCAATCCACCAATCGACTAATAACTGGTTTCCTACTTACTGGCAGATAAACAGAGGCGTGTTGAGTAAGGAAACTTGCCCAACATTCGAAACCAGGTCTCTCGGATGCAAGGCGAGTGCTCTACCCACTGAACTATATTTCTCCTCTGCATATTTCTAAAGTCTCAACAAAGAGTGTTGTGAACAACATGCTGGTTTGACAGACATGAGATCCCCACAGCTGCACTGTTAACCGTCTGGTCACTTACATTTCCTGCCTGTCCGTTATTAGAAGAGTTTATACTCGTGCCCCAGTCATTTGCAGATCCCAGACTTTCGGTAGAATAAAGCCGAGTGCTTTGCTTGGGTTGAGCTCCTGCTCCAGGTCCTGCCTGCATCATGGAGGCGACCTGATTCATGATCTGAACCTCTTCAGTAGACGGAATCCCTGCAAAGCATTACACTGCCAATTCAGGACAGGAAGCTACAAGCTAACACGGCCAGTTACAATTGCCAGGAGTACAGAAACTTTTAATTCACCAAGAACAGAAAACTGGATTACTTTTCAATCTGACAGCCAGTGCAATATGACTCACTAAAGTGTACGTTTCCTCTTCCAAAACAGTTGACCCTTCACTCAAACTTAACCGTTACGAGCGGAGAACACGAGGAAACTCATTAGCTCATTCCATCTCTTCAAGCCTTTTCTCCCTAATTCCCAAATACCTTTGCTTTCTAAATCCCATCTCCTTTTTAACCAAAGTATCCCATTCCCTTAAACATCCCAATTGAATTGGCTTATATGGTCTTGTGATTCAGAGAAGGTAAATGTCTCTTTCCTGCTTTGCTACTACAGACAAGAAAGACTAGAGCAAAAGGAGAAAGACTGAAGCAGAGAAAAGGGAAACAAATTACTTTAAAAAATCATTTTCCTGGAACCTTCTATTCCTCGTTCCAAATTAACTTGACAATTTCAGATATAAAATCCAAAACAGAGATAACTAACCCCGAATAAATTTGGGCCACGTTTCTCACTCAGCCAATTAGTAATACATACACACAAACAAACAACCACTTACGTTCAACATGAGCAAATGCACAGAAAGGCCCGCGGGGGCAGTATCCAGTCTGACGCATATCATTACATTTTGTAGACTTGTAGATCTGGAGGGAAAAACACAGAATAAAAACCTAGCAGGGGCAAAGTCTTCAACACAAAGCATTCTCTGCCAGGCAAAGCTGGCTTGTTTTGGAAACCTCCGAGGCCGATTATATTTTAAAGCGAGGCATCTCAATATAATACATTTACATTCATACAGCAACATTCACATTGGGAGGACATCCCAAGGCACGGAACAGTCCAGGGTTTACACCCAAGCTGCAGGTGGGGGCCAGGGAGAATCCTGTTCATTTTAAAACTATTTTGACAAATGGGACAATATTTAAAAAAGTATTGAATGCATATTGAGGACTGAAAGGGCAGATATACGCATGGTGGGCATGAGGCAATATAGGCACTATTTCAAGTTGTCGTTGTTCCCATTCAAAGGCACAGCACACTTTATCCCACTCTGACAGGCTTACCTCGGGATGAAATTGTTGCTCGGTGCGAGAGTGACAGTACTGACAGTTATCTCCACTCTCACATTTGGTGGGCTCACCCCATTCATCCCCGTGCTTTACATTGGGACATGGCGTTGATCTACCAAAGAGAGAAAAGGGGCAGGATTATCCAATGGAGCACTCTGGGGCTAACCCAAAGATTCTGTAACCTGTGAAACTCTACGGACATGGACTGACTCTGATCTCATTCCACGCTAGGGGTTGGGAGCACATTGAACAAACTCAAACGAATGTTGATCAGAGGCAGGGACTGGTGATGGTCATCGATTTCCCCCACCACCACCTACCCACGAAACATTAAGAGCGGCACCACACATGGACATGCAGCGCTCAAGTCAAAATCTGCAAGGTTTTTAACACTGTGAAACGTTGCTGCGGATTGGCAGAAAAAAACGAGGATTGTTTAAACACTTAGTACTGACAAGGCAATGCCCGGCCCAGTGAGAGCACGCTGACAGCACTGGGTTTGGATTGGGCTGTGGGGGGCTGGGGGAGGCGAGACAAAGAATGAACTCTGGCTAGTTAGCACAAGAATTTTTTCTACTGGAATTTGGGCTCAAATACTTAAACTCGAAATCTACAATATATATCTGTATATAGTGTTCGGGATTCCGGATTCTGAATCACTGCACAAAGTGAACTTTACACATTTATGAGAGGTCAGATTCATAAGAAAGAAATCAAACATAATAGCTTCATGGGTAACGAGCATTTAAAAAAAATTCTCACAAACTTCTCCCAGAGTTTGTTATATATGTAAATTCCAACCACTTATAAACTGAGCCCCACTTACAGTTAGAGCTAGAAAAACATTTAAAAAATGTTATTAAAAAAATTGATTGTACTAAATGAATGTATCATTCACCCAAAAAAGTATGTGAACTTTAACCATAAGAGGAAATTAATTGTAGCTGAGAAGCTTTAATAAGAACTGTTACTGGAGTACGGCTCAGAAGGAATTCTAGCAGCAAGTCACTCGTTTTCTTTACGTATGAACATTATATACACACACACATACTGGATATACAATTAAAAGACGTGACATGCATGTTCTCTGCTCTTCAAATAACAGTTTTATCAGTTTCTAGCTGGTTATTAAGACATTAATTTTAGCTGGGCACACGTGTCCTCCCACCTCCCTACATTGATTTTCAAATAGGTATCCAATGATTAATGAGACGCAGTTTACCCGTTTATAAATGGCTGTTTACTCAAGTACAATGCCTGGGCACCTCACCGATACATTAAAACATGTTTATTGATGTAAAATAATTCCACTTTCCTGTGATGACCTCAGTTTACTGTGGAAATCTGTAGGACCCAAACTGAGGAACTTCAAAAAGTGGGAGGTTTACTTTTCCTTCAACCGATTCCTGTTGTAAAGGTTTGTTATTCTTCAACCAGAGCTTTAGAATGTCAAAGGTAAGAGCCTGATACAGACAAGTTTTGAGCAGTGACAAAAAGGAGCAGTTTTGATCTACTGGTTTCAGATGATTCACACAAGCCAGGTGTCTTTAGCAATGTTACACATAATGTGTTATTTTGGTACAGGTATCACCTCGATTGCTTAACGAGTTCATTAATTGGTTGCGCCTGGCACATCTCCTGAGCTCCCTGTCCCAGTCTAGAGGACAGACTGCAGTGTCATTCAGAAATGTAAAACAGGGGAATGGAAATAAACATTGTACATTCAAACTGAAGAGAGTCAGGGCCAGTTCCAAATCAACTGAAGTTATTGCTACATGTAATCACTCTCCCCCGCCCCCCACCAGTCAGCGTCTCTGTGGTGATGAAGTTCCACTAACTATTCCATGGTAACTATTCCAAATGAGCAAAATAAGGCAGAGGCTCATCAGTGAGTCAAAACAAGATGTCTGTTACAGCTCATACTATACTTTCGAATAACCAGGTTTTTATAGGTGACAATCGGACAATCTGACAATTGTTCAGATCGACCTGCCTTTCCCCATACATTAACTTGTGCATCATTACTCAAATACCTGCTTTGGGTCTCAATAAGCCCATAAAAAAATCAAAGTGGATACATTTACTACACCGGATTGTATGATAACTGAAAGAGGCAAACTTGCTATGTAAAAGCAAATAACCCCCCGAAGAACAGATTGTTTTACCTATATTTAAATTTTCTAGGGTTCCTCCTTCTGTCCCGACTGTTGTGATAATGAGGACAAGCATAGCCTTGACGACAGAGTCTAGGAGGTTTATTACATTGTTCTGTCTTGTAATTTGCTAGCACAAAGTTCGTTTCTGCAAAATAAACAGTTTATTGCAAGACAACTGCTGAATATCCACCGCAAAGGAGTTGGTTTTCATTTCAATGGGGAGCTGGAAAGAAACGTGGAAGTGCTGAAAATCCCCCAAAACCACAGTAAATTGTGCGTATGCACATCAGAGTGTTCAGCAAAGATTCTGGCTTTTGGTCCGTGGCCCATTGCCAGCGTTTTGTGTTCTCGCCCCCTTCCCCCCCCTCGCAATTTTAAGACCTTTTTCCCCAATGTGAAGTTAGCTTTTCCAAAAGTAGCACATGCACATTGTCCATGGACAGATCTCTCCAGCAGATGGCAGTATTTACTGACCACTTTCCAGCTCAAAACACTGCAAATCTCACAGCAGAAAGTCTAAAGACTGCGATATTTCACTCTTTAAAGAAAGGAGTACACTTCTAGGTCAATATCTTGGTTTATGGAACGTTATCATTAACCAATCTCCTAACCTGGAACCCACCAGCCAATAATACCCAATCTTTTCAATGTTAATGGAACTATTCACCAACTGGTTTAAAAAAAGTTATTTACAGATCAACTATTATAAAGAACTTTTTTTGAGATATAATGTTCCATTTTATTCTTTTCAACCATTCAAAGTTGTGGTTCCAGCAATAGTGTCTTTTATTAGACATTCTGAGGGGGGAAGAAAAAACAAAATATCTCTGGCTTCAGTTAACACATTTCTGACTAATACAAGTCACAAAATATTTTAAAAAAAACTACAGAAAATTTGACAACAAAGCTTCGCCAGTTTCGTATCAAAACTATGTACAGGGGAAAAAAATGAGGTTTGAAATTCTTCATCAGTATATCAGCTGAGAAACACTTAACACTTTCAACTGGTTACATAAAGACCTCCCAATCGGAGTTATCAATGTTGTAACGGTCTCCGGGGTGGGGGGGGGGGGGGGGGGGAAAGGAGGAAGAAATAGCTACGACTGGCCTGGACGATAATGTTGACTTAACATTTTAAGATCAGCAAGATTGGAATGTGCAATATTCCGACAGTTGAGTCTGAATTTGGAAGCCTGATTTTTTTGTTAAAAAAATGAACTGCAGAGAACTGTCTCACGAATTAAGACCCAATTTAAAAATTTTCTACAATGCTTCGCCCACAATATACAGTCAATTCTCTTTACAGTGTATCCTGTGAAACGTCTCAAAGACGTGATAAGGCGCTTTATCAAATACAAGGACTATTATTATGCACCATCCTAAACTCCAATGGCCAAACTGTTTTACAGCAAGCGAGGGCTGGTTGGAGTTTTGGGGCCTCTGATGATTGAAACCTTGCTCGAATTTGAGGTGGAAAGTTAAGAGAGGCCTGGCAGTAGACAGACATTCCTTTGCTTACCCTGCCATCGAGGATCTTCAGACAGGGTTTTTTCTATCATGGCCTGGCTGGCCAGAACACCGGGCTGTAGGTCAGGAAGCCCTTCTCCTGCCCCGAGCTGTCCATTCTGTAAAGCTTCCTGCGCCTGGAGTTCCCTGCAAGGGCGCAAACAAAACATATTCACCTGACTTGAAAGGAGCTACACCAAATATGAGGAATTCCACTTCAGTCACTGATCAGCCTGATGTTTACTTCCCTTAATTGTATTCTCTATTTTATATTTACTTCAAATAAAATCATTCATTCACTCACTCCATGGCTGTTTGTGGGGCACTGCAGTATGCAATTGGCTGCCGCGTTTTGCCCACAAAATACATAAGTCAATCCACTTTACAGTACATCCTGTGAAGTGTTTTGAGACGTCTCAAAGACGTGATAAAGCGCTATATCAAATGCAAGGATTATTATTATTGCTTGCAAGGTTGGTTTAAAAGAAGTTGCGCCATCAGCCATCCATCGTTGGTCTGGGCAGATAGGTGTCCTTCATCATTTTGTGATAAATGAATAAAAAGAATTAGTGCCCACAAAGTAAAAAATTTTTGAAATGGAACCGTATCATGCTAACAGATGTTCTGGAATTCTTGCTCCCCTCCCCCAGCATACCTCACATTCCTCACACTAAACCCTCTGATTTTTAGCTCCAGCATGCCAACATTGACTGGAAGTAAAGAACCATTTGCCAACGTTCAAAAAAAAGCTTGATCATTCAATAATATTTGTGAAATATTCATCAATTCTCAAACTTTCCTCTGCAACGCACTCCCTTTAATTCCCCCCCCCCCCCCCACACCTACATTAGATGTTCCTGTGCCCACACCGAGTCACAGCCAAGGACGTGGGTCGTGGTCACGCTCTAAGGACAATGCTGATAATGTGGTAGGTGGCGAGCTCACTGCTTTGGCAGCTCGCTCCAATTATACTCTCTCGGAAACGTATTTCCAAACATGTTCAGCACCTCCCACCCCCCCACCCCACACACAGGTTTTATCTGAGACATTTGTGGATTTAATGGATGACTTTAAGCTCATAGTACAGACTGATGCTCCAGTCCAGTGCTGCCTGCATTGTTGGAGGTGCGGTCTCTTGGATGAGATGTTAAACCGAGATCCTGTCAGCGCCCTGGGACGTCCTCCCGACGTGAAAGGCACTCTATAAATGGAATCTTGTTGTTGTTGTGTCTGTTCTGGTTGGCAATAACACAGGCACTATTCAAAAAGAGAATTCAATCCCGGCCAACATTCCCACCATATAAAATTGATCACTCACTTCATGGGAGAGACATTACAATGCATAAATTTGCTGCTACATTAATCTACAAACTACCCAGTCACTACACTTCACAGTAAAACATGAGACGCACCTTGCCCACCTGATAGAGCGCTGTATCAAATGCATTGATTATGATATAAATATGATTACACCTTTGGTGACCACATTGGTAAAGCAGCAGACCTCTATGATTTCTTACAAGCGATAACAAACATAGCAGGAGTTATATCTCAGAATATACTGAGGGGGAAGCTCCTGCAGGATATTACCCTTTAAACAAAGCAGTTTTCAAGATGTGTTTTACCCCGGGTTTATTGAGGGGGGGGGGGGGGGGCGGAAGAGAAGGAAAAGCTATCCTATGAAACACAATCTGCTCCCAGGCAAATGTCAGCCCTGCTTTGTAACCGTGCTAGACACATGGAAGAACAACTCATCGGATTTGATGCGCTCTCCACTTTACCTTTATTTTACTTTACCCTCATTTCTTCCAGTCAGAAAGTGCCTCATTTTCATATTAATGTGTTCAGCTTCAAAACTAAGCTACCAATTACTGAGGTTTCGAACCACCCTCAGAAATATCACAATGAAGGAAGGTGACAAGCAATCTGGTGGCAAGTTCCACATCTTAAAAAATAAGAATGTATTTTTCACACAATTACTCAAAAATGAGGATGCAGTGGGGACTAATACTCCTTGATGTTTTGAGAATATTCTCTACAAAGCACAACTGGCAATTTGTTTTGAGTGTTAATATGCACTCACACCCATAATTAGTTCATATTCAGTCTGCAAACAAGTTCATAAATTGCTAGTCAATTATCTTCTGCCCAAAGGAGATCAATTGTAATGAGGTCTGTTTTGTGCTGTTCTAAGCCTGCAGAGATACAGAAAGTGAGCACTATCTGTGACAACCTGTCTGAGTGGGTTCACTTCTTCTTACATGTTTAACGTTCTATGGTTTCTTTAAAAGCACACATTACATAGCTTTAACAAACTGCGGAAGAAAATCAGTCTTATATTTGCTGGTTGTGAAAGAATTTCAGTGAAGGTGGCAGGAGCATACATGGATGGTCTCAGAGTGTCAGGCACAGGTTAGAATCTACAACTCTCGAAAAGACACAATCCATTCTGCACCTGGGAATGGGTGCCAAGCTACCAATGAACAGGGGCAGAAGCGGGTGCAGCCATACATTTTGTAGGGTTTCCTACTTTGGGAGTGCGTTTGCGTCCCAGTTCATTGAGGAGCTGGAGTAGGATGCAGAAAGGACAGGGAGATTTCCACTGGAAGTGGGGCAAGCTCAATAGGCTGAATGGTCTTTTCTTGTTCCAAACTCTCTCATATCTCACAAGTCCTACACTAGTTTTGAATGAGGCTTATCATTTTTAAACCCACTTTTTTAAAAAATAATTGCCGACCCAAACCCAATAACCTGCTGAGGCATCACCTCAAGGCCCAGTGAGAAAAGTACAGCTCTATTCCTATCAGTGTTGACGTCGCTGACCTCAGCCCAGGAAACCACTTGGGCTCCACAAGTGGGCTGAATTGATTTTCTGGAACGCTACTGATCTCCCTTAGTTGTCACTTAGTATCCAACCAAATGGGATTTGTTCAGTTTCTCACAAATTAAACACATTAATGGAGTCATTTGACACTTTCCTAGTGGGCAGAAACGCAGTGGAAATTGCTGCAGCCAGAAGGAAGAAGAGAACTGAGATGAAGTCCAGGATATGGCCTTTGTGCTCAGGGAGCGGTGGGAAAGCCATTTCCAGATGCTTACTGAACGACACCCCAATTCTCCCATTTGACTGGCATATATTTACCAGTAGCGGTGATGGGGTGGATGAAGCAGGTTCTCCAACTTCTATTACTTCTCAACATCACCACATAAAGTGATGGCATCTTGGATCATTTATTTCAGCGATTTTTAAAAAAAAAATAAGCTTCTCAACTTATACCTGGATGTTCACATCGGACAAGTGGCACTTTGTGTGATGGCAGTTCTTAATGAAAGGGAGACAAACCACTTTGTACTAAGATGTCGGTTACATGCCAATGTGTGGGGGGGCGATCACAGTTCCTGACAGTAAAGTGGCAGCAGGCATTGCATCACATTATGTAAATAAAAGACGCCTGTTGGATAATTCCCTGAGTGGATTTTGGCCATTTTCATTTGGATTAACTGCTAAAAATATCAGGTTACATTTTCAAACTATCCAAACTTCATGAAAGTTAAAATGACTCCCAGAACATCCACTTCAGCGCATCTCCTCCAAACTGTAATACAATCACAAGTGATGAAGAATCACTGATCGGCAAAGAATAATTTGAAACTGAAGTTACGTAAAAGGAGTAAAAAGTACCTTATATCATACACCGGAGGTCGAAGATCATGTGGGCCATGAGCAAATGCACAGTGAAGGCCATTTTTCACACAGTGCCCACGAGCATCGGTTTCATGGATGCACGTACCCGTCTTATAATAGCGTAGATGATACTTTCTTTCTGTGTCTCCAGTTGTTCGATGAAGATATGGACAACTGATAAAAAAGGAAAACATTGATGAAATCATAACTTGCAGTCTCAAGCTTTCATTATTCATAACAGGTTTCAAATTCTTTGCTGGAAGTTACCCAGCACATTGCCGATTCCCATTTTCCCATTGCTTAAAATAGTTTTGTGAAACACTTCAGAATATGTAGGAATGTTCTAAAGGCTTTAAAAATTGATTGGGTTGTTTAAAAGGGAGATGGATACTCGTGATGTAATGGGCTAAGGGAGTGGAGAAAAGGCAGAACTGGGACTAAAGGATAACATGATACAGTAAAATGGGCTAAATTTTTCAATACTCCCCAATGAGCCATTTTAGTTTCCTATTTACAGTCTTCCAAATAGAGCTTCTGATTTTGGCCTGTTTATCAATGGGCAATGCTTCCACAAGGTAGTGGATGGATTGATGGACAGAAGCTAAAACAAAAGCTAACAACAGAGCAAATTTGCTAGAGTGAACCTGTAGCCAGCTCAGCTCAGAAAGATGCCAGGTTTGATCCTTACTCTGTGCTAATTTAGCCCAACGCAGCCAGGGCACAAGTAGAAAGTTCTACAGTTAGCCTCAGTGAACCTGTAGCCAGGGAAAGGCATGGAGGAATTCTGATTGCGCTGCTCACTCCTCAGGCGTCCAAATGGCAAAGAACCAGTACATGAATGCTGGTACAGTACAGAAAAGACTGGTGATGTGCAAACATGACCCTGTAGCTGCATCACTACATGAAAAAAAAACAGATTTAGAACTTGAGCCAATAATTTACGTTGATTAAACCTACAGAAGCAACTTTTTCCTGATCAATTAAGATGCTGTGAAGGTTACTCTTTTATTATACTACAATTTAGACAAAAACGCTTCAGTGTGGTGATCAATGGACACAAGCACACCGTCTACCTGTGGCACGATAACCAACATCAAATATTTAGAATGAAATCCTCACACTGTATATATCACCATTTGCCTCCACGCTACAAATCAACTGTATTCCTAACCCATCATGAATGTCCCTTAAGGAAAACACTGGAATAGATTTTCATGCCTGGAACAATTCTGCCTCCTTAATCTAGGAAAGAGTTTCGCCTCCAATCAATGCTTTTCCCTCACTTGCTGGGTGGGCAGGGGCACATATCAAAGCAGAAACAATTAGTTCAATACTCTGCGTCATTGCACCAATGTATGATCAGGCAATGGCTGTAGTTATTCCTCAAGAAAAACATATGTACAGTACAGAGAGGAGTTAATTAGTAGATAATTAATGTCATCTCTAGAATTAATAGCATCGCTCATCCATGAGGGGGGGGGGGGGGGGGGGGCTTGCAACTACAAAGCTATTGAGCATTTGCTTCCAAACCAGAATAACTGATCTAAAGTATCCAGGGCCAGAAGTGTAGTTCAATTAGCATTTAAACAGGAAACTTATTTTTTTTAAAAAAAAAGAATATTAAGGATCCAGAGGTTAATAGAAAATCAGTGCTTCTGGGGCCAATAAAGCAAGGAAGTGCCCAATAGCATAAGCCAATGTGAAACCAACATTAAAGCTACTTTCAACAGAAGAACCGGATGGTCGTTTGAAATCTTACAACTTCCGAATTGTTCGTTTTTTCCCATAATGTAGGAAATGGAGGGATAATATTATCACCCAAATTAACTGTCAGAATCCTATCCTCCGTTCACACTTAACCTCTGTACCAACACATTTCAGCTGCAAGGGTGGCACGGGTAATAAAAAGAGAACGGCACATCATGGAATCTTTTAAACCATATTAAAGATTTTCTATTCTTAATATGAAATGGGCGCCATATAAATAATAGCAATCAGAGTCCATCTTTTGTCAACAATAGCTTGTAGTAAAGTTGCGCCCTTCACGCAGGATTACGTCTCGGCGCACTGTCAAACTGAGAGACAAACATATCTGACTGGCAATCAAAGCGGTTAATAAAGGCTGTGGGTCAACTATCAACTTGTACTTAGAGAATGTCATTCACTTCAGTTGTTTGTAGGACATTGCTGTGTGCTAATTGGCTGACCACAAACACCCAATCGCACCAAATTTACAATATATCCTATGAAGCACTTTGAGACATCCTACTGATGTGAAAGGTGCTGTACAAAATGCAAAGATGATTATTTATTGCACAACAACTTTCACACAAAAACTCTACAGAATGCATTGAATTAGATATGAAGTTAACGTTGTGATCGAGGCAAGTTGCAGCTAATCCGTGCCAGAGACATCCTGTCAACAATGGCTAATTAATGTGCAACTAATTAATGGATATTAACAGCAAGAGTAACATGAGCTGCTGATGGATATCCATTAATTGAAGTCCCACTAAAAATCCCAAAGTACTTTAACTGCTAAGTCCAGAACACAGAGTACATGACAATGTTTCCATTTTTAACAGCCATTTTGACTTGGCTACTGGTGGTGAGTTGATATGGGATATCAACAATTTCATCACATCAAGAAGCAGTGGAAGTGATAAAAAAAACTGTCTACGTAAGGGTTTGGTATCACAATTTAGATGGTACTGTAAATAAACCAGAGGCCAGATCACATAAGAAAAAAGAAAGGGGTCCAGAAGATCTATTTTCATGAATACTGGCAAAAAAAATCAGTACAGAACGCCCTTTGTGAAATTCTAGCAGGTACAATCTTTAGGGAATACAACCCTCCCCCACCCCACCACCATGGGAGGGAATGCAGAAATACTACATGGCCCAGTTAAACATTAAATCATGTACTTGAACATTTTCCACCTTCTGTCGAGAAGTGGCTAACATTTGTAACAATTTGTAGATCAAACAGGGAAGAAAGTGAATATTTTACACTTTGGGATCTCGTAAGCAGCAGCGACCACATCAGAAGCAAACATCCTGCACTCATTAATCTTTCATTTAAAATACTCAGAAATCTGCACTTAGGAGCATTGGGTATTTCACACATTTCATTGCAAATCTGAGCAGATTAGCAATTTCGACAATGCGGTGACCAATTTAAACAAAGGTTCTTAAATAAAATTACCTGTATTTTCCTCACATCCAGCATCACACTACAACAACAACAACATTTCTAGCAATGAAATCAGTCACATAAATATTCAGATATTTAATGTTTCCAGATTTATTTTCCAAAGTGGAGACATTTTGTTCATAAGAAAAATTCCTCCCAAGAACTCTACATTTAAATGCAATTTAAGCAATGCTAGGCAGCAGAACACAATATTCACTGGAATGCAAAGCCTATCTCCTCCGTCAAATAGGTGCAAAAATCACCCTAGAAAAGTACAGTTAAGCAATCCTTTTCAAAATGAACATACAACATATTGTGTTGGCCAAAGAAGTCATGCAGAATTCATTACTGGAGTAGATGTCAAAGTACTTAGAGCAAACGGTTCAAAACTGGTCTCTTGCATACCTTTCAGATATGGCTATTTTAGCTGAGATTTGCAACCTGAAACATTATACTCAAAGATACTGAAATTCTGAATTTGCATCAATTGAAGTAAGAACCATTCATGTTTATTTTGAAGATAGTGAAACATTATCCTTTTGAGCCTAGATCAACATACAAACTCAGCTGCCGTGCAGGCTGATTCTCAGTTTTGGCTAAAAACAGCCCAATCGTTTTGATCGTCATTGAAGTTTTTTTAATTCTGTAATTCCAAGTTTCCATTTAGCCAGTCAGAAAAAAAAACAATGTGGCATAATAACAAACAGAGAGGCACATGTCGTTTATACAAACTTGATGAGATTCTCTCTTTGTAGGGCATTTGAAGTGATGGACAGATTCTGGAGATATTTTATTAAAACATTTTTTAAAAAATAATTGGACGATTTAACAAGTTTTTGCAGTTCTGGCAGGAGAGCAGGAGGACCCAGTCATTGAGAGAGGGCCCAAGTATGAGCGGCTCTTAACCACCGAGAGCCAAGTTTAGCTGCTCCCTATCTTCCACTTGGCCAGCAGTTTGACAGACCGTTTCCTGGTTGCTAACAGTTGTCCCTCAGAGAGGGCCCCTCAGAGACAGTCACATCTAACACATGACCAGGCACTCTCGCTCACTGTGAGAAACAGTTACAACAGCCACAGCTCCAGATAGCAGCTCCTCTCCAAACAAGAATGTTACGCACATCAAACTGCCTTACAAAAAGAGTTGAGAAATCAAGGCATTCGTGAGAGAGACAGAAATATTGCAAATACTGCAGAAGACAGGGAAGGAATACATAATATACAATGCCTTCAAATGAACGTCAACAAGACCGAGGCTCTCCCGTCAGCGCCTCCTCACCTCAGGCGCTGACTGTATCACCATCCACGGTTGCACACTCAACCTTGCTAACCCAGTCCAGATCCTTGGGGTCTTCTTCAACCCTCAACTATCCTTTCTACCCCACATTCATGCCATGACCCGCTCTGCCTTTCCCCACCTCCACAACGTCGCCCGGCTCTGACTGTCTCACACTGCAGAACGCCAAAACCCTCATACACACCTTCATTACATTAAGGCTCGACTATGCAAACTCACTGCGTGTTGGCCTCCCAACTCCTCCCTCCGCAGGCTGCAGATCATCCAGAACTCTGCAGCCCGTGTCCTCTCCCGCACTAGGCTCCGTGACCCTATCATCCCCATCTTTGCCCAAATTCCACTGGCTTCCCATCATACAGAGGATACAGTTCAAGATGCTGGTCTTCACCTTCAAAGCCCTCCAAGGTCTTGCTCCCCCCCCCACCTCTCCGTCCTCCTAACCCCTTACCATCCTGTTCGCTCCCTCCGCTCAGTGGCCTCCGGCCTGCTTCACGTCCCCCGCCTTGCTCGCCCCACTATCGGTGGGCAGGCCTTCCGCCATTCTGCACCCACTCTCTGGAACTCCATCCTGTAGTCCTTCCGTCTCGCCCCCTCCCTCGCCACCTTCAAGACTCACCTTAAAACCCTCCTCTTTGACCGAGCTTTTGATCTCCCTGCTTCCTCCCCCCTCCCCCACCTCAGCTCGGG